GGGGGGGGGGGGGGGGGGGGGAGTGAGGGAGTGAGGGGCGTGACCCTCACTGCAGAGAGGAACACTTAGAGAGATTGCTGGGCGGGGCTGAAAAATTCCTCAACCCCTTTTTCTTTCCTTCTCACTACGTTGCTCTCGGCATTTTAAGATCCCTGATTATTTGTGTGTACTGCACTCACTTGCACGCACTCCTTAAAGGGCTTTTGGTGTTTGAATTCATCTCCATTTTGTTAGTAATGATTTACTCACATTGCAGGGGGATGTCTCTTTGAAATTGCTCCCACACAGGTGTCTTACCTCCCAGCACAAGTGTTTCTGCGTACCAGCTCCAGCACTTTGGCAACATTGCTGATGGATCCGTCCGTAATGATGAAGACCTGACGAGGGTATGAACGCTGCATGGGCTGCTGGTAGAGCCAAGACAGTGCCCCCAGCAGGTTGGTCCCCCTCATGTCAGCTCTCATCCTCTGGACGTAATCATAAGCCTGCAGCAGGGTCACCTAGACGCAAGCGGTAGGGTCGTTTCAAAGAGGGACGGGATCAGTTAAACTGTACAGGACAGAGACGCAAACAACGCCCGTCAACCCTCTGCACAAGCGCAAACACTACAGGAGACTAATTTACCGTTTGACATTAGACGCCCCAGTTAGTGTGTGAGACTCCAAAAGAACCGAGTAAGCTTCTCTCTTGTAAAGACGGCACTAATGTATAAACATTAGCTCTTTTGCCTCACAACCACCTCAGTTCACAGTGTGTGGACAAACATGCCTGGCAGCACAGGAGACGGAGGCACATCTGTCTAAGTGAAAATGCATGAAAGGCCACCATATGGTGATGAGTATGTGCAAAGACTGTTTGTCCTTGCAGCCCCTTGTCTGCATAAAACTTGATACTCTGCTGCTAAGGCAACACAAGAAACAGACCTAGTTTCTGATTAGGGGGTAGGGAGAACAGAACAGCTAGTTCTGCATTGCTGAATATCAACTGCATCGAGGAAACACGAGCCAAATGCTTCAGAAAAAGGCATTCATATGTATCAAAACCAGACATTTGTAATATCACATCACCTCGTCGCCTGCAGTGAAAATAATCTAAATAAACCAGATTAAAATAACTTCAATCACAGCAACTGCTGTTCGAGAGACTGACATCAGTGCAAAGCCTGCTGGAGTTGAACAAAGGCTTGACGGTGGTACCAAATCCAACAATGTTGAGCATTGTCCTGGAGGGCAGACTCTTCAGAGCCACCGCCATGGCTTCCTGATGATACAAGAAAAAAAGAAAAAAGATTAATCTGGGAAATCTATATTCTATGTCCTGCTATTTTACATGCTTGTGACAGCAGTCCACCTTGACGCGATTAATGTTGGTGCCACTCATGCTGCCACTTCGATCAACAAGGAACAGCAGCTCTCTCGTGGCTTTATGCAGCTCCAGAGGTTCAGACAGCAGGTCAGGACAGAAATTGAGCATTAAGACGGGGCTACAGAGGATGTCCTTGTGGTATCGCTTTCTTACAAACTCCATCTGAACGAAACACAAAAACAAGAGAATTAGGACAGACGAGCATGAATGCGTGCAGGATAAACAGAATAAAATGGTAAAGCGCCGCGAGTTATTCTCCAACCTTTCTCTCAGGCTCTGAATCTTTGCGAGTGCAGCGAATGAAATCCCGGCGGGAACAAATCTGCTGCTCATACTGACTGAAGGAAAGCCTGCCTCTTTCTAATATGATCAATGGATTGTGAGGTTCTGCAAAGGAGTTTGAAAGATACTTTTTTTTTTACAGAGTTGAGAACAAGGAAGAAATCATTGCAAAACCCCTCATTGCTTACCACTGAGGTGCAAAACGATCTCTATGTGTCTGTCATACGGATGCTCTTGTGCCAACGTGATGTAGGTGGCAGAGGCACTTTGAGCACTGGGATCTGCATCTGCCCTCAGAGCATGAGTAGGACTCTCTAGTCCTACAAGACACAAATTAATTAAAATACTTCAATGTCCGTAGTTGATTTATTTTTTATTACAATTGCTTTTTTCTTTCCATCTTGCTGTCACCAAATTTCTTTGTGTCCTGGCTATGATTAATATCCTTTTTCATTTGCTTTAGCTTCAACTTTACACAGCTGAATCTGAATAAACTTTTTTCGGCATTACCAGCTAGCAAACAGGCCCCTCTGACCAGCAGCTGGAAGTTGAGTTCATACGGTGCAAGGTTAGCGGCTGGACTGGTGAAGATGGCGTGGGAGCACTGCTGCTCAGAGCTGAAGGCCCGGTCTGGTTTTCCTGAGGTTGCGCCAAAGCAACTGGTCCCCCTGGGGGAAAAAAAGCATTGTGGGCTTGATGTCAATCTGTTTTTTGTACTTAGAGTCTCAGGAAAAAAGGTAGAAAATGAATATAGCCACTGTTGTCATAAATACCCAGTTTCATCAGATTTCCCCCCGTTTTCACTCTTGCTTTGAGTCATTTGACCAGTAACAATGGGAGTAAGCAGTGCTGGGTAAACAATGCGGATTGCTCCATTTTCTAAGGTGGGGAGTTCTAACGTGGTGCTTATAATCACAGAGACGATATCCATCGGACCAATGACTCCACAGCCCACTATAAAGGTAGTTCTTTCCAGGTCCTCATCCAGAATGAGATGCCCTAAAACCAAAATATATTAACAAAACATCAGACAATAAAGTTTTTAGGTTGGGGAATTATAGAAATATTTTACAGCAAACTTTTTAAATGGTTCCCAGCATGTATTTCATGTGTATTCTTCTATACAACTCAAGATCTTGGTAAAACTTTTGAGGTAACTTAATTTTCAATTTAACGTTGATAATTTTCATAATCCATCCATTATCATTACCGCTTATTCCCTGATGGGGTCGCGGGGATAAAGAACGTTATGAAATAATTTTATCACAAAAAGAAAGATGATGGATTCAGACAGCCCAAGACAGATCCTGGTTTGCAAAGATAGATAAGCAAATCAGTCATGCCTGTTAGTGTCTGTAAATCAGTTAGAATAGTTTTTACTATCTCATGATTTCCCTTATCAACATGTTAGCTAGAATATCAGGCAGCTTTACAGACAGAGTGATTCAATGCTCTACCAGAATGCGTATCTAAATGTTATACCTAAGTGTATGAAATAGTTCCAGATAAATATTAAGGCACTGTGAAGATTCTTTGAAAAATAAAATCCTTCCTCCTCACCATTGGTGCATTGCATGTCTAGGCTAGACATCCCACAGCAGCCCCACTCCCGGCCATTCCCACAGTGTCCGTCGAGATCAGATCCTGGGCAGCAGTCCAAACAGCAGTCTTTCAGCTTCCCTCGGCTCTGGATTTGCACTCCCACCAGTCGGCCGGCAATCGCAGCCTCAAAACCCACCACAACCTCTTTTTCTCCAAGAGGGTAGACAAATACACCTAGAGTTGACAAAGATTTTAAAAAATAGATAATAAATAATCCCCACATAATTCTTCATAACTATTAAGATACTTATACGTAAACCAGACCTGTATTTAGTAGATGTGTACTGTTTTGTATGCATATCACATCAGTGTTCAACCACCGTAAATATCGGCTGCCTGCTGAGCTGTTTTAAGAAAGTTTTATTTTAACTCGATACATGTGAAAGAATGAATGAAACATATTCTGAATGAACCCCCTGGTGCCAGTGTCTCTTTTCAGATGGTTGAATGTTTTGCTAAATGTTTTTGGGCTATATACAGCAAAGTCCATAGGATGTTATCATTTTCCTCATCCAGTAAAGTTTAATAACTTGACATTAGGCTGTTTTGGAGATGAATATTCGTCATCCCCTTAAAACTGTGCTGTGAAATGCTAACATTAGCACAGAGAATAAGTTATTCCATAACCCACCTTCCACAGACTCTATGTCAGCGTTGGCGTAGGTCAGGTGTGCGGTGATGCCCATGGAGCAGCCATTAGCACAGGACTTGATGCAGGAGGCTTTGAGTAGCAGCGGCTCCCATGTCGAGCGGTTTCTCAGCCCCACCATCTTTCAGCACCTTTACTTTGCTGAGGACATGAAAACACAGGTACACAGTTCAGTGGAATGGTCAGGCAGGAAAGGGAATATGTGAGTGCTCATTTATGGTTTTCCCATTTTTCATTTAGTGTCCAATCTCAGTTATCCATGCAAATTAGCTCAGGAGTTTTTCCTTTATGGATTAAAAGCATTCAGATTGAAGGTGTTTTTCCACTTTTTCATGCATATATGCATGTTAGGTATTTATTTCTGTTAGCACATCAGCTTCTTGACATGTATCCAAGCTGTCTCCCCTCCAGCGGCTCGTAGCAACCATCTGTAAGAGTTTGTGTATAACAGGTTTAGTCAATCATTAACACAAGTCACCACTTACTACCCTGGGAATAAAGCCTATCATCTAAAATCTATGGCCAACCAGTATGCAAACCCACATTTGCCTACAACCACGGCCTGAACTCTACTCTAAGTTCCTATTTTCCATAGTTATTCCATGTCACTTAAGCTGGATGGCAATTCTTAATGACTCATTTAAAAAACTCAGGTGCTGAGAGTAGAATTGCACACCACCAAGTGAAAGGTACACAAAACTGTTTGTGCGCCCGTGTTTGAATATGCACAGTTGGGTGCATGTCTGCGTGTGTTTGCCGTGATCCAAGTAATGGTGTTCTCATATCCACCTTTTTAACAAGATCAACAACCTCCATCTGGCTACTGCACTCTCAGCTCATAACAAGCTAATAAATGTCCCGTTTGCTCTGAAACTGTCGATGTTTGAATGCACAAAAAAGTAGTGCAACCTTGCCCCCTGTCAATACTGTACCATGCTCAGAGTTGATCAAACTGCTCAGTCATTTAATTTGGAAATATATGGATACAAGTGAGATCACCTGAGGCTTTTAAACTCTACAGGGTGGTCACTGACACATAACATAATGCAGAATAAGTGCACACATTTACACACTAACCTTTGGGAGCTTTGTTTTACTATCCAAAGCACAAGAAACAACCTGGAGTGTTCAGTCACATTTTGGCAAACAGCACAAACAGTTTTTCAAATTGAAAATGGCATTTTGTTTTATCAAAAAGAAAATAAAACACACATTTTCTAAAGTTATGGTTCAGCCATTTCTCTGAGAAGCTGAATAATTCTGTCTGATGTTCGCTGAGCACAGCTGTCCAACGGTCAGCTCTGGAAAAACACTGCAGTTGCTGGATGACAGTAACAAGCCACAGATGATAAGAAAAAATACTCGCTGAGGAACACTTACTGTACTTGTGCAGTGCCAGATAAATGTCCTCTCTGTCCAGTGTCTGCATCTCACCACCTCATGTGCTCATGGGTTTCCTGGTGATGTACGTTTGATGAGTTTTTCTAGTAACTGACACTACGCTCTCCACTCTGTGTGTCTCCTCTTGAATAGTGCACCAGTTGCCTTGTGAAATCAGAACATTCACTATATAAAGCCATACACTTGACTAAATTATTTTAAAAGTACAAATGAGTAGCAGTTTATCACCCTGCTCCTATACAGTATTGTTAACATAGACATCCATCCATAATCCAGTGAGTCTAAATAACATTTGTTTTGAGGCACCGTCTATGTCTTCCCTGTTAATTTGTTCGAAACCATCCCATCTCACTGCTGTGATCTATCGGCAGCATGCACAAACCTACTTTCCCTCTTACGTGAAATGTCATCCACTTACCTGCTCTGACCTGGACTACTGGGCTGATCACAATCTGTGATTGTGAACCTGCTGCTCAGGCACAAGCTAACACACAACGGTAAGTGAGGCAGAGCCTGCTTTTCATCCAGACAATTGGCTGTGATGGTAGCAGCACCATAATTCATGGCTAATGGCTTGGCTACGGGGAGGAGGGGGGGATGTGTTCTGCATCTTCCAACAGGTCAGTCAGACCGCAGCAGAGACATGGGTAGATGAGAATATAGAAGCTGCAGGTTTTTTGTGTTCAAGTCACAGTTTTAATGAGACAAACACTATAGAGAAGAAACAGTCATAGTTGTAATAGTTGAAATAAACAATGATGATATTTGAATGTTATGATGTATGGATACATTTGAATGCACTTTCCAAGTTAACTCACTATTAAATTCATTATAGAAGCCATGTTATTAAGTATTTGCTCATTGATCATAGACCCAAGTTTGCAATGGAGCAAGGAAACAAAGGTTATTAAATATTCAGCTGATTACTTCATTTGTTGTGTGTTTTTCAAACTAAAACACAACGTTGTTTTATGCATTTCTTAGAGTACTTTTGTCAGTTGTTCTATGTGCTGCAGGTGTGTTTGCGTATGAAGCAGAGAGGCAGATACAAAGAGAAAGAGGGCCAGAGGAGGTCAGAAGAGGGAAGCCTCCCACTGAGGGGAGCACTCAAGCTTTGGTTTTGATGTCCATACTTGAGCAGAATAAGTATGTTCATTGTCTCATATAGCTTTACATTCTTAATCTACTTTGTTTTCTGCACTTAAAGTTTAGAATGTGATACATACCCAAATTACTTTTAAAAAATGTATCACTACCTGAAGGAGATTTGGGTATAACATATATGATTATACCACTTAAATAGTTTCTAAGAGTGCTGTGGGGGGACAGAGAAAAAGGTGAGTCAACATTTTCCAGTCTGTGACCCATCCTGCCACCATGTGGCCAGTTTCTATGATTTCATAGAAACTAGACAAGCTTTATCTGCAAAGCTTAAATAGTTTATCCCTTATGATTTTCTTTAACGTTTTAGTGTCTGTCCTCAAGATGTAACCCAGGTTAAGTTAAGTCATATCTGAATATGTAACTATATTTTACTTGTACATGTCAAATCTAAGTTAATTATATTAACTATTTTTTTACGTTGATTACCTGACAAGTAATGTATCACATTCAGCACAAGATATTCTGTTTTTAATAAATTAGCCAGCGCTGCGCTTTACAATTTGTAGTCTTTAATGAAAACAAACCACTTAAATTTGTAGTAAACATTGCATCCTTAACATGGCATGACTTCTTACCAAAATCGAATGGAGGTTTTGAAGACGGGCACTAGATGTCAGTCTTTGCGTATCAGTTGCACTTTAATAAATACAGAGGATTCTGTTTCCTCATAATTTCAGATGATGATCCTTTAAGTAGTATTTGATAGACCTGTAAAACAATAGTATTTATTTATTTGAACTTTTATACAAAGAAAACATTTAGCAGTTGTGTTCACAATAAAAATATCTCTATATACAATTTCGATATATTACTACTGCAAATCATGGAACAAACAGCAGGTGTTTCCCATTGCATTTTTCATCAGTTCAAATCGTACTTGGTAAATAAAATGAGGACAGGGACTTGCTCAGGGGAATTTCCATGAACCACCAGTCCTCTGTTGTGAGCATCTTCTTATTGGTACATACATTTGCAATCAGTACGTACGCTACACATATCAGTTTGTGGGGTAATCCCTAAATATAAAGCCACAATGAGAACAAATGACTATTTCTGTTTAGTGTTCCTGTTGCCCTTTTGATTGGATTTTTTTTAACCAATGGGTAAAAGTTAGAGTGAGAAGCAGTCAAGCTTAAAAGCTCCAAAGCACACTGAGAAAAGTTTCACTGCTCATCTATGACAAGCATGTCCACCAGATGCTGACTAGTTTAACTCTTTTCCGCATTTTTACTGAAAGACGTCACTGACTGCTGGGTTTGTGGGGTTCAGGTCCCTACGGCTGATCCTACTGACCTCGTTCAGAGCAAGGACCTTTCAAGGAACTCCACTGAAGTCCTTTTAAATCTCCTGTAAAATGAAAGTGTCACTGCAATTTCATGTTTCTCCGTCTTCTCGAGGAAGGCATGTAAACATTTTCATTTTTGCATTATTTTCAAGTGAAAACGCAACATTTTAAGACAAGATCTTGAAGCTCTGTTGTGTAGTTACTTGCAGGAAGAGCAGGTCTAAACAGTGTTTCCACATGAACATAATCTACAACGGCATCATTCTCACTCCATTATGTAAATTAGATGTCTCATTGTTGAGCGGTTGGTGTTTAACATGCATTTAATGGCAGTTAATGTGATTGTTGAGGTCATAAGAGATCTAATTAACAACATGTCTAACAATGACCTATTACAGGCCTGTTCAGATGAGCTGCTTCTGCTTTACTATTGTCAGTGCATTCAAGGGTTTGTCTGTGCAGAAATGTTGGGAACCTCTTCTCTGTTGTGTACCCCACTGACCTACATTTCAATTGTTTTCTTCCTGAGACAATAGGGAAAATTGTTTCATAACCGAACACAATACCTGGGTGTTATTCAACTCAATTGTTAAGAAGATTCTCATTGTAGGGTGTCTATATGCTGTTTATTGTGTTTTCTTTACTCCATTTTAGTGGGTAAATTTGGGATTTTTATATTGTGCTATCCTGCATGTATTGTTTTGATAAATAGATATTGATCAATCCAGATTTTTTGTTAATGCAGCTGATTTTGAAAAATAATGTTCAAATGCATCCAGGAAAGCAGCTAAATATAGATGAGAGTCAAAATATACTGTATCACATCATGCCAAATCAGAAAATCAAAGTAAGTGAGAATGGGTACGATTTTGTGTGTGGTCAAATTGCTGAGATATACTGATTAAATAAAAGTTAGACGTTGATGTGGGCGCTAGGTAAGGGTTTATCGGGAAAAGAGGAAATGACTTGGGGAAAAACGCACTGGAAATCTATTACTTAACTGTTGTATCAATATGTTTAGTAATATATTCTGCTACTTTACCAGAATGTATAGTTTAATGGCCTCGTAAAAAAAGTATCTACATGACGGTGTGTGTGATGGGTAATGACGGCAGCAGCAACATCACAGTGGTAGACGCTGAGATAGAAAGGGGCAAACCATGGTGCTCCAAGCTTAGTGGAGAGATGAATGACGAGTGAGCAGAAGGCAAATTAATCAAAGTACATCAAAGGCAAATGAATGGGGAGAGGGATAGAATGAAAGAGTGCCGCCCGTTTGTCCCATGTCGTTCCCGCTCCGCTCTGCCTGAGCCTGCCCTCAGATCTCTGAGCCATTGTGCCACATGGGAGCAAGGTGGGGGCTGAGGCACAGCAAAACATACACCGAAGGCAGAGCCTGACATAAAAAACTTTAATTTTAGAAGTTTAACCATCTGAACTCCTTTTAGTCAACTTTTCATTCTGTCTGAGGCACTCTTCCTCAAATACAAATTTTTCGACCTGTTTTATGTTTTATAAATTCCAATACTCTGAATATAACAGAGTTGGCTGGACAGCATGTGACTAAAACCTAAACACACTCCCTCACACTGACAGCTGCTGCATGTTGTTGGTGTGAGGTTTTCCGTCAGAGCTGGCTTATTTGACAGCTGTCTGCCAGTAAGATGGTTTGTTCCTTTCCTTGGGACAGACCTCTTTCTGCCAGACTGTGACCAGTCTGCAGAACATAGTGCTTTTAATTAGCTGAATGTAGTGGATTATTAACATTAAGAGGTATTGCATAATCTGTTAGTAACATGCATTTTCAGATTAATCATTAAATTTATACCTTGCTTTGTAACAGTTGTCAAGATGTTTCATTTAATTTAAACAGGCTTTTGTCACGACATTTTACCCATTTGATAGTTCTACAGAGGTAGAGGATTACTCACATACACTTGATACTGCTCCTTAAGTCTTGTGGGTCTGTGTTTATATGATATGAATACACAAACAACAGCATTCTGATCATTTAGAATGAATAAGTCATGAGTACATTAGATATGGTGTTGTTTTTTTCTTAATTTCAGCATTAAAAAATGTGAGGTTTTTAATAAAATTTTCCAGAACAGCAGCAGAACTGGCACCTTTCTAAAAAGATGTCGAGCACATGTCTGATTGGGAAGAGGTGAGAAACTGTTAATGTGATACAGAGGAGAAGCACTACTGTACATCTTATGGTGGTTCAGTTCGGCTTAACTTGTGAATATCTCTTACAGACTAAATATGATGGGATGAGTGTCTGACATTTAAAAAAGTTCACGATAGAGGAATGCTGACAAAGAAAATAATAATGAAATACATCCAATAACTGCTGTTGTGCCTTTCGATTTTATTAATCTCCTATGTTTATAAGCAGTGTGTTACTGTATCTTTATGTAACAAAAGCAGAGTTCAGCAGAGAAAGACAAAAGTGATGTGAACTGACAATATTTTAATGGGTGGGATAAAAGACTGTAAGTGATCAATGGAGGCGGCAGCCAAGTGATGCCCGGAGGACGGCTTTGATGTGGGCATCCTCAGAGGGACGCCGGGGACAATGCTCTCTTTGAGGGGCACGAATGACAGACACTTCCCCCTCACTCCTGCTCTCTCACACTCAGCCTCCCTGTATGTGCCATTCGCCCAGCCTCGAACTGCAGCTCTCTGCTTCAGACCAGGATTGGTGTCCCTCTGGCTCCATGTTCCTCCTCTCCGGGGTCATATCTGCACATTTCCTCATCTTTCTCCCTCTTCCTGCGCTGTAATTAATTCAAATGACACCCTTTTCCGTGTCGCCCGGCCCATCACTGTGCTTACCCCTCCTCCCCCTCCCGCTCTCTTTCTCGCTTTTTCCCTCCCTCTGTCTCCTTTCATAGAACCAAACCTCTTTGTGATGTCCAGCCTTGGCAAGTTGCACCCGATTTGCTGTCACAGTCTTAATGAATTCATCTGTTTGTGTATTGGCCAAGGGAGCCGTTCTCCCTCCCTTCCGTGTCCTCGTCCCCCTCCCGCTGGTGGTGTTCCCTCGGGGACTCTATATATACCAAGGACCACTCCAGGCATCTATTGTTCCTCTAAGTAAACTTTCAGACAGATGCCCTGCACCGCAGTCTGGGAGAGAGCTCAGAGAGTCAGGAGGAGGGAGACAGTCAGGCCGCCTGACCACAACGACGCGGAAACTCTGCAAACCAGCATCATCTCCGGCACCTCTGCATTCCCTCCAGTCGCTCTGCGGGGCTCCCGTCTGGCTGTCTGCTGTCACCGTGGAGGTCTGATGTTCTGAGGACATGCTGCTGCTGCTGGTATCACTTCTGCTCGCAGGGCTGGACTGTTTTCTGGGCGCCCCAGCAGGTAGAGATGTCTACAGGATGCCCCAGAGCGCTCTCAAAGGTATATCGTCTGCACTTGTTATAACTTTTTGAAAAAGTAGCTGCCACAGGATCCGTCACAGATACGTGGGGCAATTTATGTCTCCAAAGGCGGGTTAATTGAAATGAAAAATAATTGCTTCTTGAAAGATTAATAATATTTATTGAAGTATTTTTAGTTGTAACCCATTAAACTAACAGCAATGACGAAATGTTTTCAAATTTGAGGTGTCTGTAGGAGAAATGCAGACAAGACGTCTGGTGACACCCTTGATGATTGTCACATGTTCCATTTTGATACTAAGGATCCAGATCCTAAAACTCACAAAGTGTTGCTTTCTTAATGTGCTATTTGCTTCATATTTTCAGATAGATCTACACCTATTTGTTGAAATTAACTTCATTAGGTGATATTTCACAGCACACCACACCAAAACAAGTTTGAAGCTAAGGTCTTTTTTTGAGCTAAAAAAGCTGTAAAGAACACAATGGTTTTAGTGGTTTATGTATTTCGTATAAGAAGTTTTTAAACTTTCCACACTATCAAGGGAGAGGCACTGTGAATCAAGGTGATAGACATAAACTCATCAAAAGAAGAAATATTTGTGTTACGATTTGAAATTTCCTATTTGTTTGGGAGACATTTAAATTCTTTTTAATTATTTTGCATGATCACAAACTAATGAATTCATCTTATTAATTTATTTTGGGTAAAACATAATCACAAGCGGAGAAAATGGTCCGTTTAGTATTGTGACTTTTTTTAACAGACTATATTTGAGATGAGACTCATAGTGTGGAGTTTGAAAATCCCTGCTGTCAACACGGCTCATCCAAACCTGCAGTGGTGCTCAGACCTTGGGCCAGCTGAGCCTTCAGACAAGTGGGCTGTGATGGCGCTGCTGAGTGTTCAGAATTAGGGACTGCCTGTTGGTGCCCTCAGGGAGCAGCTCCCACTGCCCATCAGCCTCTGCCCACTCAGCCCTGGCCTTCTAATTAAGTCTTTAATCAGCATTGTTGTTGTTAGTGGCCTATCCTGTGATGTGGCGCAGCGCAGAGGGGGGGCTGCAGGGTCGGCGGCCCGATTGAAGTTTATCTGTAGAAACCACAACAGTGCGCTGAGCGTGAGCAAGCTTCCCTAAAATGCTGCCAATGAGCTCAAAGAGCAGCATGAGAAAAGGGGGCTACTCACACACACACACACACCGGAAAGCTGCACCTATTCATGCTAATGCCCACACATAGTGTTCCCACAGCAAATAACAGTCTACCATGTGATGACCTAGATGTCCTTTCTTTAATCTCGCTGCCAAGGCTTCTTATCCAAATTTTGTTGCTTTGTCAGAATTCAGCATGTCAGCAAATGTGTCTCTGGACGTTTTTAGAAAGAGCGTGTCATTCTGATAACTGCATTTGGTTTATGTACATTGTTTGATGACTCAGCTCTCCATTTATGATATTACTCAAACAAACGAGTTCAGATACTACACTTTGATTAACTGTAGCACAGATATAATCAAGAAATAGGCTCTGACATGTTGCATACCTACTGGCTGATGTAGATTTATCAGTAAAATGTGCTGATGTTCTGATTGTGTTGATTTGTGTATTTCTGTCTTTGTATTCTCTCCAGCAGAATTAAGTTCATTTAACACTCTAATATTTTGCAGCTCTGTCTGATCGAGGCACAGTTGTTCTAGAAGCAGCCATGGCTAGTGCCCTCTCCACTCTTGAGGGTGTGTCATCAGAGAGAAGCCGGGTTGAAGCGAACTGTCAGGGTTGTGTGCCTTGTCTGTTTCAAAACTGCGGACAACTGTCAGGATCTTGCTGTAAGAATGGCGTCCCCCCTTGCTGCCATCTTTATTTAAAAACTTTTATCAGATTGTGTTGCGACGTGATGGTTTCTGACTACATTAACAACACCAAAACCTGCCTCTCCCGTCCTACAGCATCTCCTTCAAGTGCCTTGCTGGAGCCCAGCTGCGATGTGATCACTAAGGTTCAGAAGCTGCAGGACGAAGCAGAGCGGAGTTGGGGTCTGAGCCAGGCCTGTGCCTACTACCAGCGCCGTTGCCCACCCGGAGAGCTGGACGGTGAAAACTGCATCAGGATCATGGGCGAAAGCTGCAGCGCTCGCGTCCTTCAGTGCAGCCTGCTGAACACCATGCAGAACCTGGAGCCGGCTATGCAGACTCGAGCACAGGGTGAGGAGGGGGCACCTTACACCCTACCGATAGACTCAAACAGGCTTGTCCCGATGCACGGTGTTGGCACGCACCGATCTGATTTCCCGTCCTCATTGACCGCTTTAACCGTCAGCCATGTGTGTGTCCCAGCAGCAGTGTGCGGTCAGAGGTCCTCCAAACTGCAGAACACCACACAGCCCCGCTCAAGGATTGTAGGTGGCTCCCCTGCTTCTCCTGGCAGCTGGCCATGGCTGGTCAACCTGCAGGTAGATGGTGGGCTAATGTGCGGAGGGGTTCTAGTGGACAGCTCTTGGGTGGTCACTGCTGCACATTGTTTTGCTGGGTACGTGCACGTGTCACTATAAGTCTTCCTCAAGTAGAGATTTGATTAGGTTTGCAGGCCATCGCCGTGTCGTTCTCACCCTTACGCTCCCTTTACGTGTTCTCTGCAGCAGCCGCAGCGAGAGCCACTGGACTGCTGTGGTGGGTGAGTTTGACATCACCAAGACTGACCCTGACGAACAGGTTCTCAAAGTGAACCGCATCATTCCCCACCCCAAGGTATGAGACATGTCTGTTTATACAAATTACATCTTAGTGCTTCACGCATTACAATCTGCACGCATCATTTCAGTGTCACACTTCAGATCTTCTGTTAATAAATGACAATATCTCATTTTTCTGCAGTTCAACCCAAAGACCTTCAACAACGATATAGCGCTGGTGGAGCTGACGTCCCCCGTGGTCCTGTCAGAACGCGTCACCCCAGTGTGTCTCCCCTCCAACATGGAGCTACCCACGGGCAGCCCATGTCTGATAGCCGGATGGGGGTCTCTTTATGAGGGTGAGCGTCGGGGGGAAAGTATCTTTTTCTGCCTGCAGCTGTTTATGTTTCTATACGCTTAAAAACATTTGTTTTCTCTGTGCCCCTCTTAAGATGATGAATATATTTATTCTTTAACCTGATATAGGTCAGAGAAGCATCTTAAACTGAGGTTGTTTTTGTGCTTTCTCGGTAGATGGTCCATCTGCTGATGCAGTGATGGAGGCGAAGGTGCCTCTGCTGCCACAAAGCACTTGTAAGAGTGCCCTTGGCAAAGAACTGGTGACCAACACCATGCTTTGTGCTGGCTATCTGTCTGGAGGCATTGACTCTTGTCAGGTGGGCCAAGCAGCAGTTGCTCTTGTTCTTAGATCTCTGAAGTTCTGTTTGGGAACTGAGGTCCCTTTGGTTTAATAAACTGTAAAAACTCCAAGGCCTTCCCAGAAACTTAAAATATAATCAATTTTCCATAGAGAGCCAAGCTTTTGGAGCATCCTAATAATTCTGTATTATCTTCAGGGAGACTCTGGAGGCCCACTGATCTACCAGGACCGAATTTCAGGTCGCTTTCAGCTCTATGGCATCACTTCCTGGGGAGACGGCTGTGGGGAGAAAGGCAAACCTGGAGTATACACACGGGTGTCTGCATTCTCTGACTGGATTCAGGCTGAAATACAGAGTGGGTTTAAAGCAAAAATATATATCAAAATTACATAGAGATTGCATATTTTGAATAGACTTTTTCTCAGAATCAAATTCTGACTGACTGCAAGCAGAGATTTATGCTGTTCTCTCTTCTTCAGAGGCCTTTGGCAGCAGGGAGCCAACATGTCCAGAGCTTCTTAAGACAACTGAAATGACTGAGGAGGAACAAAGGTCTGAGTTTAGTTCCATGTGTCACTTCTACACCCTGACCTGTCCTTCTGGTCAGTCTGCCAGCGCCTGCAGCCAAATGGCTGAGGACAAATGTCTTGTTCGCTTCAAAAAATGTCGTAAGTTGTTTTATTCAAACGCTCATCTTATGGGATACTGGTTGAACTAAATGGATATTTCTTGGTTTGGGGGTTCGTATTCTGTATAGATTTCTGAATTTTTCTTCATTTTCTGTCACTTAGAGTTACGCTCGTTCCTGCAGACCCTGTTGGACTTGCTCCAGAGAGCCGAAGACTACATTAGGGACAAAGTGGACCTGACTTTCTTTACCCAGACTCTGCCTCAGCTTGTGGAGCACATTTACAGCACAGCTTTCTCTCAGACAAGAGAGAGGAGAGACCTAAGCCTAAACCACGGTTTCAGTCAGATTAAAGGTACAGGACTCGTAGATCATGTTGTTGGATCATTGCGTGTACAGCATAGTTGAGGCCTACTTACCTCTTGTGTACACCCCCAGCATTATGAAAGGTTATTGAGATTATTGAGAAAACTTGTGATCTTGTGGACTTGCTGAAACAGGTGTTTAATTTTTTGCAGAACAGCTAGGTGGAGCTGTGAGGCCAGCAGAGCTGGGTGCCTCTCGTGGTCAACCAGATTTATTCAGAGACATCGGACCTTTGCTGGATGACTGGGAAAAATACCTGAGAAACATGGCGGATGAGATGGATAATCAACCCAGTGATGCAACCGCAAACGTCACATCTTCAACAAAAAGACATGAGGACAACCTTTTTTCACAGGTATCATTAACTGATATGGTGATGTTACAGCTTTTTAAAAACTCAAATGAAATTTTACTGCATGTTCGATTAAAAAGATTTAAATTTGTTCACAAAGTCACAATTCACTTAAAGATCGAGATACACTTTCCTGTGACTTATTGAAGTCCAACTTTTACATTTTACATGTTTTTAAATGTTGTTTTTTGCATTTACAGACACGGGATTCCCTGGTGCAACAGCTGGCAAGAGAATATGAATCTGTTATTTCATCTCTTCAAACTAAACTTGGCTCCAGATCTGCTCCTCCTATCTTGAACTTGGACCCTATGCACCTCCAGGAGGACGCTCCTAACAATCCGCCTTTTTTATCCTCTTCCACCGGAGAAGATCCATCTTCCCAGCCCCAAGAACCCCAGGAACCTCGGTCACTTCTATCAGTCCTGATGGAGGAAATAAAAATATTGAGTACGCAAGATGAGGCTGTGGTAGAGGACACGTCACAAAGCGAGTCCTCAGCCAGTAGAGATGCTCCTTCTGATGGAGAGTGGGGCATCGCGTCAGAGGATTTTATACCTGTTGAGAAAAAGGATGGGGTAGAAATCAAGACTTTAACATTACCAGTCTCAGAACAATCAACTGCTGTCAGCCAGCACGCCATTGAGAGCTCGTCGGACCTCAGGCACGCTGTCAAACCTTCAGTTATTCACAGAAAGTACAGGAGTCTTCTTCAGAAGAGACAGACACCTGGTGCCAGTGGGAAAAGTAGGTGTCACATCTTATTCTGAATAAATTATTCATTTAACATATTTACAAAGAAATCCTAATCGATGGGTTGACAAATTTGCTAAACAAAAACGTTTTTGTGTGAATGTTAAAGTTTGTCCTGGGCTGAGAGAATCTTCACAGCAAGTCAGCCTGATCAGAGACTCCTACAGCTGGGTCTTAAACATCCCCAGCAGGAATTTACGCATGAACTTCCAAGAGGTAAATGTCTGACCATTGTCAGGAGGGGATGGCCGGTACATTTTTTTGTTACCTTTAAAACCGTGTCTCTCTCTTTTTCTTAAGGTATTAGTTGATCTGAGCTCAAAGAACGATCGAGGACTTTACCAGGCGCGGATAAGAGCCGTAGTGGGAGGAAGACCCTTAACCTTCTACAGTCTCGTCGGCCTGGAGAACGAATCATTCTACCGCAGTGTGCCGAGGATTATCGCTTTGGCACTGGAGGCTCTCAAGACTTAGTTCATGTCGGTAACTTGGACAATGAGAGACTAAAAACTCACGGAGGAGACACTTTTATAAACTGTACTTCTTCTGCTGTTTCCAGAGAAAAGCATTATTTTTTACCCTGCTGAGAGTTAGACTGTGACTCTTAAGCAAACCTGAATGTATGAGTCACATAATTGGACGCCAGCCATGCCGCGTGATCTTTATATGTGGCTTAGTCTAACTTATGAATCTGTACAAAAGATAAGTTATTCATTTTGTCTTTCACAAAGGTTGAGCCTCTTGTGAAGCACACAGACTGCATATATATCATTCATGCTATCTTTATTATGGGAATATTTATTTGTATAGAAAAGGTCTTTGTATTTTTGTAATAAAAAAATGTATCTATATATGAATAAATTGCTATGAATGATTTGGCACTTTGAGCTAATTTGATTTACCCAGACTGAACTTTTAAAATCTGATATCCCTTATATCTCATGTTAATATCCTTATCCATCAGTTCTCTCAGGACACAAATTCTCACAAGACCAATTTTCTGACAGGCCCATCTTTGTTACCCCACCCTGATCTCATTCATCACATCCTATAAGTGTACCCTGAACCATCAACACAGCAGCTGCTCCCCACAGATGACAAATACAACCCTTTTAATTTCTTCCCTTATTTCCTGGCTTGGATGCAGAACCCTGACCTTCACCGCCTCTTTTTGGTCTGTTGTGAGGCAAAACTATGAAACGGAATGCCTCATTTGCTTGAGGAGGTGCACCATGGACTGCAATGTCTTGCCATTGTCCACTTTCTTTCAGTTCAGGCTGATGATGATTGTATGGCCCAAATTAGCTTCCCTCGGCATCTTTCTGCCCAGCTCAAGTCCGATAAGAGGGGATATTTAGGGATTTACAGCTGAGTAAACAAAGACGCATACTTCTGTTGTAACTCATGAACCCCTGCTTCAGCTTCGCGTGCTTGTGTGAGTGAATGGGAAGTGTGCCTGCCTTATTGTGTCGAGTAGTTTCGCAACTCACACAGAAGCACGCAAAGTAATGACAAGCCACAAATGTGTCTCGGCAGAGCCCAGTTAGTTACCAGAGAGGGTGTGCAAATAGACAAGACTTACCACCTGTTCTTTACACCACTGGGTGGCTTTGCTGTTCATGTTGTGTCTCACACACACACACACCCACAAATTCCCTGCTGCTATTCTCCTTTCTTAATCTACTCTTTTTTTCTTATCCTTTACTCAAATAGAATACAGATAGCAATGGTTTCTAATGGAAAAGCTGCTAGCAGGCTTTTTATAGATGGTTGCTGTGCGACATGTGCACTCAAAGACCCCATATTCCATCGCTCACGTGAAGCCCTAAATGACAATAGCCAGGTGCATCGAACAGAGTTACAATACAGCATGTGCAACACTGGAGGGCGGCCATGTCGAGTCTGAGCAAACAATGTGCTGTTATGTCCTTTGTGCATGTGTTGTGACACTCAGCCATGACTGGAAAAACACTTTTGGAATTAACTCTAACTATCTTAACCACCCCCCCCCCCAAAAACAAAAAACACACTCCCCCTGTACACACCAGCATGCCAATCAACTTGAGAACTGTCTTTTGCTGGGAACCTTACACACTGACTCACACGCAATCCCAGGACCTCCAGTTCCATCAAGTTGTATCCTTCCATTTCATGCTGGTGACCACCACTTTCTCTCAGACTGCGCTGAACACACGCTGATGGATTCTGGACTACGATGCTCCACGCTCCTCTTTGTGAGAGCGTTGATGATTTCTGCAACAGGTAGGATCAGTTAGATGAAGGGATTCATTATCTTGGTGGTCTTGCATGCCATGGTTTGAACTATTCACATCCAGTTTTTTTAACGGAGGAAGATTTTGAAACACCTTGAAATCTTGAAAAACATTCTCAACATGTATGCCTAATTTTGGTTCAACTTTTTTGCACAATTTTCACAATTTCCTCACATTTTTCAGATTCTCCCAAGATACGCTTGTGGCAACAAAAAGGATGAACTGTTTTCTTACAACATTATCATGGTCTACCAAACGTTATGTGTGCCATGCTTGAAAGAGCTTTCGGCAAAAGACAGAATGCTTTAACTTATACAAATAATACTTGTCATTTCTTTTTTTGTCAAACATGGCATGACACAAATTTACCTCAGCTTGATAAACGTGTTCTCTTTGGTGAAGTTAACTGGCTTTTAAGTTTCTTTCAGGTTTGTGTGCATGCTGCATTTCTATAAACTGGGCTTTGTTCATTGAAATTGATTCAGGTTTTTTTAAACTATTCTTTATATTAGGGGTGTGTAAAAATGTAATAGATTAAAAGCTCTTTCTATTGTGCCTCAGTGAGGCAGGAGGACTGACAAATGTAGACAATGTAGTCAACACTTTCCATAAGGCAACTTAACATCATCATCTGTCGTTCTTCATATCTCATTTTCCTAACTTATAATAGTTTTTTGTCATGAAGAGATCAAATGGAAGTTTTATTAAACACCTATTAAAAGCAACAATTTGTTTTATTATATTTTCTTCTTCCTGCCCCCTTCAAGTGGCTTTAAATTTGGTTTAGTTTTACCAATAATGTTGATTCTAGTCATTCATTAACCCTTTATCGGTCAAGTGACTGTTTTGGGGAATTTCCGCACGTTTGTTATAATAAAAAATTTAGGAAAATGTCACAGATGTAATAAAATCTTATTATGTTGTTCAATAACAGTCTAAGGTTGAATTTTTTCATTTTAAAGTATTTCATTAAGTGCCCTATAAAGGGTTAAGGCAAATGTCACAATTTCCAAACCAAAAGTAGCCTTGTTGTCTTCTCAAGCTGCCAGCAGAGCTATAATGTAACTGTTTTCATAGTCTCACTCTGCATAATTAGCACATTTAAAAAAAAAAAGTAAAACATACTAAGCTACACCTCCCTCAAACCTGTGCTATTACATCATGGGTTATTCATATTTTCTTGTTTCCCTACTCATTTTGTCAGTGTCGGCTGTAAACCTCGAGGCAGAACTTTTCAGAGATTTGATGAAGGGCTACAACAAGAATGTCCAGCCCACGGAGAAAAGCGGAGACATCACCCAGGTCTTTGTCAAGATGACGCTCACAAACCTCATCTCCCTGGTAAGTATAATTCACTGTGGTGCATTCATCAGTGCCAGAGGTTTAACGGCCCCTTTGAGCTAACATTAATTTGTAATTTGTCACCAACTAGAATGAAAAGGAGGAGGCCCTGATGACCAGCGTCTGGATAGAAATGGTAACTTTAATCGCACAAAGATCTGCTGGTTCTTTGCGAAGATGGTAAACAAGTCAGAAAGTAAAACCTGTAGAGTGTGTGTATGTAGCAATGGTGTGACTACAGGCTCAGGTGGGACCAAGCACCCAGATCTGCACTATATGGGAACATAACATCTGAGCTGCGTGTCCCTTCCAAGAGTATCTGGCTGCCTGACATCATACTAGAGAACAAGTAAGTGCATTTATACAGTATTTGTTTGTGAATTTTTCAGCATTGGAAAACAATTAATCTGTTTTATTGAATGACCTATTAGTTAATTACCACCAAAGTTTACTAAAGTTTGCGAACATCATTCATCATGGGTGATTTTTGCTTTTTTATGCGTAAAACAACTGCTACCTGTCTCTTTTTGTCCTCGCCACTGGCATGCAGTGTAGATGGACAATTTGAGGTGGCCCTTTATTGCAACGCGCTGGTGTCCCCCAATGGTTGCGTTTACTGGCTGCCTCCTGCCATCTACCGCAGTGCGTGTGCCATCAAGGTGAACTACTTCCCCTTCGACTGGCAAAACTGTACCATGGTCTTCCGGTAAATATAAGAGCTTTATTGCCAAGACTTTTTTCTTTTTTGCTTTGGAAACACAAAAGTACTGACTTAATAATGTTTCTTCTAACCTTTTGAGTTCAGTAAGCTTTAAAAAGAGTTTACGTTCCATGGTAATTTACATGGCAAAATCATGACTTATGTTTTATGTCCTGATTCAATAGCTAACAGTAATCACTTCTTTAATTTAAAATAATCTAAATGAAAAAGCAAAGGTTTAAGATTAGTCTCAAATTATACGATATATTAACATAGAATTAAACATTAGGCAAATAAAGGATTGAATGTTTTATAAATGTTTGTCGTTGACTTGTTTCTCATGGAAAATATGTTCACAGGTCACGTTTCTCTGTGCATAAACAAAATCTGCAGAGTTAAGACCAAGTTTCTCCATTCATGGTCCCTTTTCAACACAGTGTCTTGTAAAATAGAATTGATGGTTGTGTTTGTTGTGGATACAGACAGCTTTTCTTTTCTGTGTTCAGCTCTCGTACGTACAGCGCCAATGAGATAGAGTTAGTTCTCAAAGAGGAGGACAACCACACACTGGAGTGGGTGGATATAGATCCAGAAGCTTTCACAGGTATGGATAGTTATGCAAAGCATTTCTGAACTTTATATTTGGACAATGAAGATATTCTTCTTGGGTTAAAATGGTTCAAATGATTTGACTCTGCTGGTTTCAGAGAATGGAGAGTGGATCATCAAACACAGACCTGCCAAGAAAGTGATCAACGCTCAGTACACCAAAGATGACCTGGAGTACCAGGAAATAGTCTTCTTCCTCATCATCCAGAGAAAGCCGCTCTTCTATATAATCAACATCATTGCTCCATGTGTGCTCTTCTCCTCTCTAGGCCTGCTGGTTTACTACTTACCTGCCAAAGGTTTTCCTCATTCTGTATCTCTAAATGTTTTATCCTTTGTAGTTTGAAGTCTGTCACATCAGTTGGATATATCCACCAATTTATTTTCCTCTTCAGACATAGTCTTGTGGTCCAGCCCCTCAAAGCTAGGGTTTACCTGTGTGTTTACATTAGCCAAGAATCTCCCTAATTTGACTGAACATTGGTTTGGGTTCTGCAGCTGGTGGTCAAAAGTGCACCATGTCTGTTGCTACCCTTTTGGGCCAGACTGTGTTCCTCCTCCTGATTGCTAAGAAGGTTCCAGAGACATCCAGAGCAGTGCCTCTCATATAAAAGTAGGTTTCTGTTAGTCAGAATTTCTGTTTGACGAGTCCTGATCTGTGCCGGTGAAGAGAGGGGAGCATGGTATGAACATTTTTCTGCAGGTACCTGATGTTTGTGATGTCGGTGACCACCATGGTTGTGATGAACTGTGTGATAGTCCTCAACGTTTCCCTGAGAACTCCGAATACCCACGTAATGACAGACAAAGTACGAAAGGTAAAACCCTGTCTGACATGCAGCAGCTACACAAATGTCAATGAGTCTGTACAACTTCAGATCCCCCCCGCCAACATTGTGTCGTATCCTCAGATCCTCCTGAACACACTACCTCGGCTACTGAGGATGCAGATGCAGCCTTGGACCCCGGAAAGTGACAAAATCCTGCACTCTCTGTCTGAAGACGGCACTTCCTGCCGGCGCCGCAGCTCTGTGACTCTCATCACCAAAGCTGAAGAATACGTCATGAAAACTGCTCGGTCTGAGCTCATGTTTGCCAGACTCAAAGACAGAAATGGACTGGTGAAATCGGCATTAGAGAAGTTGCGTAAGTATCTGAGAACTGCATCAAATCTGCCTGCCTTCTATCCTAAATCTGATATCAGTATTAATGACAAATGATATGCCCAGATGACGGAATAAACGGAGGCACAGCTGAGCATCTGTGTGCCAGTCTGGCACACGCCTCGCCAGAGCTGAAGCAGTGTGTGGCCTCCTGCAAGCACATAGTAGAAACTGCAAAACAGCAAAGCAACTTCCAGAACGTAAGCTCCTACACATATACTTGATTTTTTTCTCTTGTTGTTTTTAATTCTAAAGAAGACCATATAGGATTTCTAGAACAGAATATACAATCACTATGGAGAATGAGACCCAGAGGCCTCTTATTCACCTGTGAGCCCCAGGGCCCCCGTCATAGGTTACATGCATAAAATCAGTAATATCAAATTCCATAGATAAGTTAAGGGTAGACAAGAACAAAACAAAAAAAAGGTGAAATTTAATTTAAAAGTGATTTAAACTCAACATAGTGACGAGAGAGAGGCCATAAGAACCCAAAAGTAACAAAAATATATAACAAAAATGTTATTAGTGTTTAATACACTAATTTCTATTAATCCTAGGAGAATGAAGAATGGTTCCTGGTTGCCCGGGTGATCGATAGAGTCTGCTTTATCGTCATGGCATTGGTCTTCTTCATCGGCACTATTGGGATCTTCCTAATGGGTCATTTCAACCAGCCCCCCTCCTCACCCTTCCTCAATGACCCAAAGAAGTATCTCCCTCCATTAAACAATGTGACAGTTTTGTAGCTGAATACAAAACGTGCAGACCTCCTGAGGTGAGCCAGGAGTAAAACTGTGATAGCATGAATAACTCTGAAATGGAAACCTGCCAGATCTGTCACTGGGGACTGATGCACAGGGAGTTGAGAAGATACAGCTTTTAGTTGTGCTCCTGTGGGCTCTTGCTGGTGAAATTATCTTCTCGTGGTCCTGAAGGATCTACTGGACTATCAAGTGGATGTACACTGGCATCAGCTGTGAATGGCATTTGAGATTGTACATTTTGTTGCATAGTGCTGCACGTAGAAGAATAATTCCCTCTCACTGCTAGCTGAAAAATATTTGATTTAGTGATTGTAATAAATGTGGAATGTGTATGGTGTATATCACATAAAAGCTTGAATAAAAACAATTGCCAATGAGAGCATTGAAAAGCCAGGACACCATGGCCATGCCACAGTGTTTGACACCATCTCTGAGGTCAGCAGAGAGCGAAGATCTCCAGCTTCCAACCAAAATACGAACACCCCTGCTCTCCACCTCGCACCACCCCACCTCTGGAAGCAGGATTTCAATTACATGGCTGAGTGGTGCCTTTCTAGCGCAACAAAAGACAGATCCGGCTGGTTGGGATGGAAACGGAGTCGGGGTGAGACAGAGGGAGTTGGCGTGAGACATCTAGAAACACACTCACAAAGCCAAGCATTGCTACGTGAATAGTCCCACACACAGGTGGTAAGGAGCCTGGGGCTTTACCCCTCTGGATCAGGAATGTTTGCCTGGTTTCTAACAGTTTAGGTTTTCGGAGGTTCAACACTAACGGTAAGCTGCTTCTTTCTGTTATTGTTTGTCTTTCAATGCTGTTCTAACATATAGTTAAAGTATATCATAGTAAATGCAACAGATAGATTTGTAACACTCGAGTCATTCAGTTTGTGGGATCTATGATTCTGATTCTATGAGTCTGCAAACAGTGTCACATGCGACACATATGAATAGAAGCCATCTTATGAGACAAAGCCGTGTGCGTGTGATGGAAAAGGGTCTTACCCGGCTGCTATGGTGAGAATGATGTTTGTATTGCTACCAGGGAACAGAATAGAGCCTCTTGTAAGAAACACAGAGCCACAATTGGGAAACTTGTTTTCCTGAAACTTTTCGTCCAACTTGACGAAAGAACTTAATATTTAAAAGGTAAGTTCTCTGGTGAAATAAAATGTCTATTACTATTCTCTGGAATAAGCAATTGTGGGTTATACAATGAAAATCTAAAATCTGTGTTACATCATTATTAAGTTTACAGTTCAACATATTCTGCTCCTGGAAGTCCTTAAAAGACTACTAATCAACAATTGTTTCTTATTTCAAACACTGACCACATATAATACTTTTAGTTAAACACCATGTCGGTGGTGACCCATCAGCCTCTTCCCTTTGGTCCACCTGAGCGAGAAAGGCACATCCAGATGATCTTCAGAGCTTTCAAGAACCGCTGCGAGCCTTCCTGTGAGTGCCAGGCTCACTCGGTGAAACCCAAATCCCTCCAAGAGGCACCGGATCGGGGATCTGAGGGACATCTCTCAGAGCTGAGTCCTCAAAGTGGAGCGGAGACGAGCTACGGTCAGTCATCAGTCGCACTGAAGAGGCCGGGGCTGGAGGAGCAGAATGTGGGAGATGAGGCCAAGCTGGACTTTATGACTATTCTGGAAACTGTCAGTCAGATTCACATCACTGCCAGACCAGAGTTACAAGGTGATTTAGGCTTAATAACGTTGTGCTTTCTTTGTGTAAAATAACAGCTTGACCGTTTAAGGCGACACATCTCTCTCATATCAGGTCCACAGTGTATTTCAAGGAGGATCTACAGCATCACCACAGGAGCCATGAAGCCAAAGCTGTTTGTGGCTGTGGAAGGTAGTCCAGTTGCTCAGCTCTTTGTTCATCATATCCGAGAAACAGGGATCTGTGATGAAATTCACCGTATGCTTTGCATTTCCCTAACCTCTTCCCTCTGTCAGAGAGCTCCTGCCTGTGCCTCCAGTGTTGTGGTCCAGCTCGGGCCTATTCCCTGCAGGGTTATGACTGTCAGGGCCAGCAGGTGTTTTACTTCGAGAGGCCCTTCAGGGTGGATACCTGCTGCCTGGGTTGCTGCCTGATGGAAATTAGAGCCTACTCACCTCAAAGGCATCTAATCGGTACTGTTTGTCAGAGGTGAGTCTGACTAAACGTTGCTCTCCATAAAAACCATAGCTCCTTCTATGATGTTGCTTTTTAAAATTAGGCGGGCTTTGTCTATTTTGTTTTGGAGCTTTTAGAACTAGGTGTAATATTGGTACCCAACTGCTATGACAGTTTTGAATGGCTAAGGTAAAAAGATCGAATTGATGGGTGACCGCCTTAAGAGAATCACACTGTGATCACACTTTCATAAGGGTTTAGTTTCTAAAGGCTCTGTCAAATATACAGAAAGTGCACCTGACAAAGAAAATTGTCTGTGAATCCAAATCTTGCTAAATGCCACAGTCCAAACAGTGGAGGTACTGAGGAGGTTTTTCTTCACCCAGTATTTTTAGGGTGGAAGTGTCCTATAGAAGTGTGCTAGTGCTTGTTACATGGGTAACACATGGGTCATACATGGACAACACATGGGTATTAAATGGGTATTATATTGGTAACACGCGTAATACATGGGTAACACATGGGCTACACATTGGGTAACACAGGTAATACATGGGTGACACGTGGGTATTACATTGGTAAAACGTAGGTAACACAATGGTCATACGGGTTAACCATGGGTTAGCCATGGGTAATACATGGTAAACACATGTATTACCTGTATTACCAATACATTACCCATGTAATACCCATGGGTACCACATTGGTAACACATGGGTACTATGGCTAATACATGGGTAACAAATGGTTGATATATGGGTGACATTACATGAAGACAGAGAGAATTGAAGTAATGTTCAGGTAGCAAGAGATGACTCCAGTCAGACACATGTTTTCAGTGAAAGCTTTGCCTATTTGAGCACTAAAATTCCAAAACAACATTCACAAAAATCTCACAACAGCCTGACAATGGACTAATAGAAGAACAAGAAGAAAAACTGAAGCGACACTGTAATGAGTATGTCTTAGTCCAAACCATTTAAAGAATATGTTGTGAGACCTATTTTTGATCAGGCCGTGTTACGACCACATTGTTTCAGTAAAAGTAATTCTTAACTTCCCCCACTGAGCAGCTCATCATATGGGGCTGTTTCCGCGTTACTCTCAGCGACCCTGAGCCCCCCCAGATTCCCCGGCCCCTCTGTAAATAGCAGGCCTTTAATGTTCCACGCTGTCGGGGTGTAGTCTAAACCTGGCAGAGTTAATGCACAAAACAGCTGTCTCCGTGGAAATCCACCGACATAGATGCTTTGGGCTTGCAAGGAAGGAATGCGGCATCCTTCCTTCTTCATTTGGATGAAATGTGACTCCAGAGTGAGTTACAAGTTTAGAGTTTTCCAGAAGCAACACTCACTGGGCTTGTGGCTAATTAGGAGTGACCAAGCAACACTTTCAGTGGCAAGAAATCCACATCGGTTGCTCGAGGATAAAGCGTGTCTCATGTGGTCAAACAAGCATCCCGGCTGGGCTGCCCCACTGTTTACCGTACTGTCCCGTCTGATCTGTGATCTGTTTGCTGAGCGTGTTGTCAGGTGGAGCATGTTCACCCCCCTCCTGGAGGTGTGCGACTCGGATGGAGAATCTACAGTCAGAATCCAGGGCCCCTGCTGTCCATGTCGCTGTTTGTCAAGCCAGCAATTCCAGGTGGTCTTCCTTATGTGACACTATAACTTCAGTAATTCTGCATAGTTCACTATACATCTGTGACATTCCTTTTCATGGAACAATAAATTATATTTCAGATTGTCTCCAAAGTGGGTGAGCCAATAGGTACAATATGGAAGAAATGGCCTGGCTTCAAGGATGAATACAACATGGACCATGAATTCTTTGGATTGGATAGTGAGTTCAAGTCCAGATATTTTACCTCCTGTTACTCCTGATAAATTAATGAATTAGCCAAACGTGCAAATTAAAGTCTTGAGAGTCCAAATAGCATCTGGCTGGTCTCATTTCGGAAATATACCAAGATAAACAAGTTTTTGTTTTTCTTTTAAAAGAGAGAACCCAATACCATTTATATTCAATTATGAGACGTCTGTTAGGAGCTTTACAGAATTTTAAAATCAAGACTACATGTTAAGTTTGCCTTTGATTTATCGCTTATGTTTTTGGTGAATGATGAGGTTTGGTTTTCATGCAAGTTTTTACACAATTTAAAATTGTGATTTTATTCTCCAGTGCCACTGAGTTTGGAGTCACATGCCAAACTTCTGCTTCTGGCAGCCACTTTCTTATTGGTAAGCATTCACAAATCTCTTTCCTTTTGTGCAGGACCTGTTAAGATTCAGTACGATTAAATCTGTTGGAGTTACACTGCTGTGTCTTATGTATGAGGAGATGAAATTCATCTGGTCCTTACTAGATTGTTACATGCCAGCTCAGGACTTGTTACGCTGTATCAGGCGTTAAAATTGCACATCAAAATGTATACTTTTATAACCTCTTACTTATCAAAGGTACAAAGACTGCAGTTAGCTGCTATGGCCAATACCTGTTTTAAAGGGCCCTAAAGTGATGCAGCTCATTAAGTGGATGTCTGTGGGACCCTCTTTGAATATGCTTCCCCTCTTTTACATTAGGCAGATTTTTGTAACATGTAAGTTAGTCAATAGGATATAACTGAAATACTCCAACCCAAAATAAGGACCTCGCTATTCTCTTTCCATTTTTCTGCAGAATCACATGTTCTTTGAGATGAGCTGATCCTTCCATTAATAACACCATCCAGGCCAGCCAGCTGATGGAGCGAGAGACTGGAACCACACACACGCTGGGTTTTTTGTCCCTTCCAGAAGGTGGACCACAGAAGGGCCGTTTCCTCAACAAACATCTATGCTTCTGCACAGTTGCAGCATACATTAACAAAAAGGACACGACATTAGCCAGCTTTAGCAGCAGATGCATGTTCAACATTTATTGCTGTATTCCATCAGGTGTACATCCAATAGTGCATCGTCACTTTTGACACAAACACCTGCTTCCAACATCGCACGACCAAATTTGGGCAGCATCGGTTTATCCACAAAGGCGCTTTTCTTCTCAAAAAAAAAAAAAAAGTTGCCCAGGATAAAACCTGTAATGGACCTACGTTCTGGGCCCAGTTTCATTTCAGATATTACAAAAAAGAAAAACTGAGAGATTGGTGTTTCAGGACGCTTGAACGCGTTTGCTGAGAGCCTTAAAACAAAGTCCTTCCTGTGGAATCTTTACAGATGTAGTACAGACAGAACCGACAGAGGGGACCAGCCGGGATTGAGGCCGGGCATGGTGGTTTAGGCAGCTTTCGGCAGGTAACTCACATGGTGGAGCTCGTACAACCGTCTGCCCCACACACACGATGAGCCTCATTCTTTGGAATTAAACTTCCAAGTCAGAATCATTGCTAACTCAGTCACGTGATCTTGAAGTGGACTGTATTTACACATATATCAAACACAACAATAGCATCTGTTCTAGCTCAAAATGACCAGAGGAACTGTAATTAAAATACAGCACGGTAATAAAATATTGTCAACCTGCAACGCTGTCTCAGTCCCAATAAAACTGATCAACACAGACTTATTAACAATAGATGTGATATCATGTTAAGCAATAAAATCATATCTATTTGTATAGTAGACTGATTTTGATGCATTTTGTCAAGTGTACCTTGTCAACAGCAAATGACCACATCAGCATACCACAGTCCCACAGCCTCCCTCTGGTGGCAAGTTAACAGATGAAAGAACTTGCGTTTGATTAAAAAAAAAAGGGTTTGGGAGGCTTGGATTTTCAACAGGTGTTTAAAAGTATCTCCTTCTCTTCGGCTTGCTTTTATTCTTCTGCTGGCAGGTTTTCTATTCGTTTCCAATTTTGACAGAAAGGGAATGGTCTTCGAGCCTCTGTTCCCGACTGTTGCTCTGCGTTCTTGTTACACAGCGCCAATCCACGCAGAGGTATCCTTCCATGGACTCAACCCCCCAACACGTCACATATACACGCATACACCTGCACAGACAGAAGCAAAACAAGGATGAAGGGCGGGGGTGCACATAAGCAGATCTAAAAATCTCATTTGTATCCTTTTTTTTTTTTTAATACTGACTTTGCGTTCACAAACACCAAATGTCTTTAAAACTGCATTTGTTAAGTCACACGTGAAACTAAAACTCAGTCCAAATGGAGCATCAGGTCAAATCATTCTTGATTAGAACAACTACTGGGACATTATCTCTTACTCTTCTCAGAGCATCTCTGTGCGAGGGGCTAACGTCCGCCACTAGCATTCACCAGACCATGGAAGTCTTCCCAGGCTCTGAAACAAAACAAACACACAGTGCATCATCAATCACAGTAGACTACTTTTTTCGCGTTCATACATTTGCAGGATGAGAATGGCAGCTGTGGTACGGCCTCCACATTCACTGGGACGTTAAGCATACACAGTGGACAAAGTATTGTCTCGGTTCGCAAATCTGGCAGTACTGAATGTCACAATTAATTTAAAGCATGTTAAATTAAACTAATCTCAGAAACTCTTCTGACTTTAAAAAAAGAAAGAAAAGGGTACAACTGTACAATGTTGCTTATGTGTTGATAACAAAATTCTGTGAGCATAAAAAAGCAAAGTCTATCGATAGCCCAACAAATAAAATTAATGCATGTATAGTTCAATTAATCTATTTGTAATAAACAGAAAAACCAAATAGCAAAGAAAACATCCCGCCTGTGTCCAACACCTGTGAGAGCATTGGGTTAAATGTAAACATTTGGCATCACTAATAGAAAACACACTTTAAAGCGTTAATAGTTCACAACTTAGACGTGGGAATTAAGAACCGTTTCTTAAACTGATTTCAAACTAAGACAAACATAAAAAATGGGACATTTTCAATCTCACAATAGCACTTAGCGAGAAAACATCGAAGGGCATGCACGTCATGAAAGTGTTTAAGACAGAAGAGGAGAAGAAAAAAATAATAAAACGAGGAGACATACATACTTAATGCTGTCTGTGTGTGTCTTGTACTCCATGATGGTGTTGGGAGGCAGGTTGAGGACTCTACGAAGCGTGTCTCTGATCCGGGCTGTGGTCGCCTGGTCGCTCGCCGTCTTGTTCCAGATGGAAATGATATCCTCCTGGTGTAAAAGAAACACCAAGACAGCAGCATTTGTGAGTGTGGTGAGATCACACAAAGCTGCCCTCAACAGGAGGGGAGTCTTAGTGGGTTTTTTTTACCTGGAAGCGAACGGACACAACAGCCCCACAGATCTCTTCCCCCACCATGAACTGCTCCCCCAGCATGGCCAGGATCAGGTTCTCCCAGCAACGAGACGCCAAGCCTTTTCTTAAACGAATGATCCATTTCCCACCCATCTTATTGGCATCATCCTAAACACACAAACACAGTTCCAAAGCAGGTTATAAACAGGAATGCAGGACAAGAACTTCTGTCTTAGCACAAAATATAAATAACAACAAATGCACACACCTCCCACATCGGTTTAATGCCTTCTTTAAAGAGGTGGAAGTCACTGTGGCCTGTGAGGTCGCCGGGTCGGATCATGTGACTGTAGAAACGCCAGAACTGCTCCACCTTGAGAAGAAACCAGGATTGTTTAAGGCCACCTGAACTTAGGTGCCAAACAAAAGCTAAAAAAGGGTATCCACAAATACGTTCACGGGAGGTCACTGACCGAAGCAAAGCTTCCAATCTGCTTGATGTTCTGCTCATAGCTCTGGGTGCTGGCTGGCCTCCCCGGGGTGCGTCTGGAGTACCAGAAGGTGTAGTTGTACTGAAGAGGATGCTCTCCTGCCCCTGGAACCACCATCTGCCGTGAAGAGGGGCAGAAGCGTATTTGTGGCTTGCAATACAAGAAGTCATCGTTGAGCAATGCCTTAGGAGGATGGAAAAACTCCCAATGATTCAGCGGACTCACCTTTTTCCTCGTAGAGTTCTGTTCCTTGTCGTCGTCTTCGTTCTTTTCCTTTTCGCTGTCTTTCGGTGAGCCTTGGTCCTGGTCGTGGTCCCCACTGTCATCGTCTTTCAGCCTAGATTGGATAAGACACATCGGAACCAAAACATGTCCCGCATTTTTTGGAGTTAGTGTAATAGAATCTAATAGTCTCGACACGGCAGAATTGCAGAAACCATGGAATATCTCCTGCATTAATAAATGTCATCCCTGGGATGATGGAGAAACTTTAGGGTCCGTGTGGAAACAACTGTTACCGGTACTGGTGAAACGGTTAAACGCTGTTGCTTCAGCTATTAGTCATTGCTTGGTCAGCATGTTTAATTTCGCCTAACAAGAATAAAAAAACGCTCATATTTGAAACATAAAAAGATAGAGGAGGGGAAAAAAACATCAACCAAGCATGGCTATACCCGTGTTTAGGGTTGCTTCGCTACTACTTTAGGAGGAGCTAGCCTAGCCTGATAAACTGGAAATTGTCAGTTCTGGCCTCCAAATTTGAAAAAGTCATGCAGCACACGCATTTACATTGAGCTGAACTACTATAGTCTTAAAAATAAATTACCATTCCGTGTAAATCAGCACTCGTTTGTCCGTTTCGACTGAAGGGTCCATTTGAGCCATGTTTTAGCCCTGCCTGCGCGTGTCGCTTCCAGCCTCTAGAGTACCGCCACACCGGGGATCCGAGGCCTGCTCTGCTTCCGCCACGCTAGGCTAATGCTAACAACATAGCCGGTTCCTCTGTATGAACCACTTTATACTTTTTAAATAATTGTTTTATTTTGTCATAGATACGCCCACGTGTGGACTTATGGACAACTCCTGCAGATTCGTGTGCACACAGAAAACATGAAGCCCCATGCTATAAAGCTGACACACCTCTCATTTAAGACGAAGCATAGCTTTAACTTTTGCCATCTCGGTGTATTAGCAGATAGTGACAGAGAGCAGACGTCCCTGATATATATTCTTTAATAACTTGTACTCACGCGTCAAATTTGTTGTTCATTATCCTCTCAATAGGAGTAATTCGGAGTCCGATCACAGCCTCCTGTATTCCGCAGGCACGGCGACGAGCAATAGTGACACGTGGACGCGCATGCCGTATGATGAGCTGAAGAGGTCAGGGGTGACAGAGCACCGTTCTTCATATTTACTCATATAGACATGTCACAATTATACGTGCAGCTGAGACAACCACAACAACAACTGATGTTAATATTTGACAGCTTTATTCATCACAGCTTCCAACAAAATAAATATTCCAAAGTTATCACCCGGATCGGTTAATCATAGCTTTCTAAAAGTACGGTAACCCTGGCTCCGGAGTGATCAGAAACCCAGTCACTTCAGTTCATCGACATGGGTACGAGCTGGCAGACACACACCAGCGCACATGCGCAGTGCCAACATGAAGGGGACTGGCGGCTTCTTCTTGTGAAGTGGCTTCCTCTGATGTGCCGCTTTCCTCATTTCATCCCTTTGCTTGTCATCTGTTCCGGCGGCAACTTGAAACAGAGGTTCTGTTCTGGTCCAAACAGAGCTGTAGTCGAAGTCTGGGGGACAAAAGGGGGGCGTACGTGTGAGGATGGAGTTGGAGAACAAAGTCAATCATCTTACAGCTGAGCCTGACATTAGCGTTGGACCAGGCCATAAGCTTAGTTTACGCATAGGGAAATGAGATGGTGTGTGTGGTATGAGAGGAAAGCTCTGGGGTGGGATGGTATGGCATGGTGTGGTGTGGTTTGGTTGGTTCTGCTGATGTAGACCATCCCCTCACCCCTTGCCCCCCAGCCTCAGTGGGGACCTTCATGAGAGAACTCTTTGTTCTGGGCCGGCAGGCGCACCAGTGAGTGAATGAGCCGGAGCAGCGGCGGCCTTCTTCAGTGGCGGCTGTTTGTTTACACCAGCCAGTCCCGTCATACTTCATTAGCAGCCCAACCCACCGACAACCTCTGATGTTCTAATCGCCGCTGAGTGTGTAGCTGCACAGAAACTCAGAGCCTCAGCTGTTTCTCCCCCTGACCTAACAGGCAGATTTATGCACACAAGCACAGTCATGGCTTCTGTAGTGAGGGTGGATGGACCGGTTGTTTCATCGTGGGCCAAGAGGCACAAAGAGGTGAGCTGACGTCATTGGAGCACCAACAGTCCCAAAGAACTAGTTTTGCATCACAGACATGTGAGAGACCCGGAGCCCAGTGACAAACACAAGAAAGGGAGTATTCAGTGTAGCCATCTAATGACAATCATTGTTATTCCTAAAGAAGTAAATATAAACTGTGCACGTATGCAGTGGTGTCCTGAGCTGTCCTTGATGCAGCCCTCATGCTGTCACCTCTCCAAAAGGCATTCGAAGGACAGAGTGAGAGGTGGTGCCAAGATGGAAATGGGAATATTTAGATTTTGGATGAAACATGCGATATTACAAGTGCGGCAAATATATACAACACAAAATCCAAATGATCAAAACGAATATATAGATAATAAACTATTAACATGTTTTACGGAGGGCTGAATTAATAATAAAAATGAATCAACCCACCTCTTCGATGGCTCTGCCGAGCCTTTCCCAACTTTTCACCACTTTCCTGACAGAGACACAAATCCGCCAACATTATACTCACCCCTGAATCAGTGATTAACTGTGAAACTATGAGGAACAGGGCTAACCGGTGTATTCTGCGAGCCAGGCAGAGAGTGAAGTTTGCAGGGCAGTCGGGCTCATAGGTCGACGGTACAATGGTGTAGTGGCCAGGAGGAAGAGAGCAGTCCAGACTGACGTCCTGTGTGTAACAGTGGGGGACACAGCTGGCCACAGGATCCTCATCCCTGGCTATCTTCTCTTCAGAGTCCCCCGCAGAGACCTGGGCACATAAATTCAAATCAAATCTAGAAAAATAGTTCAAATCATCCTGAGTGATTCATAATACCGTTTTAAATAGCTTCCTTTTAAAGGCCTGCTGATGCTTAGCATTTTACTGAACTATCCATTCACAGTTTTTATTAGATTTTTTCCGCGGTTTTCAGTTGAGAAAAAGCTGCAGGGTAAACTGTAACACCTGTAGGCTGACCTTATAAATGTGGAAGCCGATGGGGTGTAGGTCGCTGTCGGGGCGGCTCTGGTGCAGGGTGACACTGACGTTAACGGCCGCCGCCGCCGTCGGATCGTCAGACACAGTAAAAGGGAAGCAGGGGTTTTGCCAGTGGGACGGGAAGTTTCTGCTTCCCCCGGCCGTCCTTCCCGCCTCCCACAAGCCTTGGAAATAACTGGTCTCCCATTCGCCATCTGTGGTCAATGGCAGTGAGGGTGCTGGGCTTTTCAGGGCACTGAACATAATGTAGCATGATTAAAAACGATCAGACACATGTGACACAGGGAAAATTCATGTTATTTGATATAATAAAAAAGATAACTCTGGGGGGAAAATAACAATACGTGCAGAGACTTAACAGTTGACGACTATGAATGGGTAATTCTAACCTGAGGGAGGTGGAGGAGGAGGAAAAGACCCTGATGAGAAAGCGGGCCTCAGCTCCGGGCTGGTAGGTGCTGGGGATAAGAATGTAGTGTCCAGGTTCCAGGTACCTGTGGAGGACCACCTCTCTCTCGTAGGCATGGCAGTGAGTGGAGGCACAGGGCGGTTTGTTCAACACCCTGCTCAGATTAAAACGCTTCTTTTCCACCTGGTGAGAGTCACACGTTAATGCGACGCTCCACAACACCGTGCACAGCCACGGTTACACGCCGAGGCGGGCACAAACCTTCCACACGTGAAGAGCAATGGCTTGGTAGTGCTGGTGCTGTGTGTTGTTGTCGTCGTTACGTTGCGTTTGTGCGCGTTTCTCCGTGTTCCTCCATTTTCTATGCTGCAGCAGGGAGGCCAGCACCTCTCCTCGCTCACACACTTTGAGCCAAAACTTGGGATTGTTGCTGTAGCTGCTGCTGTTTCGGCTGCCTCCAGCAGAGAGCCCCTTGATCCACCGGCCGGCCAGCTGATGGTTGTGTGTCAGGAGATTTCCTGTCATGAGTGGACAGGACGGTTGTGAGAATTTGTTTTAAAAAGGCACAAAATCAGGTATGAGAAGTTGAAGACCTATTTAGCAAAAACAAAAAGGAATAACCTGTATAGATACTCTTCAAATGTCCGTCTTTGCTGATTGGATATCCCACTGTCACATCGTCAAACTGTGACCTAAACTCAGCCTCATCCAGCCAAAATTCTCCCTCAGCCACCCTGGACTGAAGGTCCGAGGCAAGAACGGGGTCGATACAACTCCAACCGGCACCACTGCAGTGAGAGAACGAGAACAGTTGCATTAATTAAAGTTAACAAAAGGAAACGTGCGCGATATTCTACGTACCATTAACAAGGATGAGCTACTGTTTTTGTTTAAAGGAAACTGATGTGAAAAAGCCTCCGAAAAGCTGACAGTCTTTAGGAAAACTAAAACCTTTACCTTAACAAGAAAGATACTAAATTGAACTTTGAAATAAAAATAAAAAACTATTCTTTATGGTTGATTGCCTTGACACATTTTAAAGAATGCCTTGCATGCTACTGAAATGAGACGCAGGTCTATATCATGAATGTGCCTCAGGTCATGAAAGAGTAATGAACAAAAGCTAAAGAATAACAGAATAACTGTGTTAATGTTAAGATAAGATTTTCATTTTTAGAAGCACAGAATGCTAAAAACCTCACTCTAGGTTTAAAATACATGTGGCTTTATTTGGTTTCAAAAGAGCCTCATTATGTCCCTCCAACCAGCAGGTGGAGACAAAACAACACGTATGCAGGCAAAGCAAGCCTTGGTTGCTAACCTAAATGAATGAAGCCAGCGTGTTTTAGCTCACACACACAGAGAGGTTCAGCCTCTCCTCATGAGGATCCCATTCAAAGTCATTCTGTTGAAGTGAAGCCGCTGAACTCCCAGCGCACAATATTAGACGGCGGACATTTGGGTTATTCAAAAATCTATCACCAAAGTCACACTCGTCCACTACCTCTGTGTCCAAGCGCCGCCCCAGCAGCATCGTCCCCAGGGGTTTCTGATCCGAAGCAGCTGCTCTTCGCTGCCCGACGCCTTCTTAACGTCCAGCCACTCCATCACAGTCAGCGCGTGGTACTGTCCCAGCTCACAGACACCTAAAATCGGTAAGACCGTCAAGCAGGCGATTTGGCACGGGCTCCCTCGCTGCCACACAGGCTTTTTCTCACCTGCGGGGGTGCTGTGAGTGGAGCAGCTCAGGGCACAGTCATCCTTCACTGGGCGCAGAAGGCTTAGATTCAGCTTTTTCCGCCTCATCTGATCGCTGTCCTGCTCGGCCTGCTGCTCCTCCTCCGGGCCCACGTCTCCCAGGCTCCAGCGTTCGGCGAGGCCTCCGGTCAGATCCACCAGGGCCTCGGACACCTGCCCCGCCCACAGCAGCTCGTATGAACCATGAAGCCTGGAGGAAGGCACAAAGGCACGCAAAAGAAGACTTTACCTTCGCTAGACCCGTTTATGGGAATGCAAAACAAAAATAGATGGATATGGGAAAAAAAACTGTTATGCATAAATCTCATGGTATGTTAGCTTAAGAAGATGGGGGGGGGGGGGATTCAGCAGCCCGTGCTTCTTACTTGGCATAAGCCTTTTCCAACAAGGCTACCCAAAAAGCAGCAGGGGAGTGGCAGCGTGAGAAGCAGAGAGCAGAATTCACACAGGGCAGGCGGTCGTCGACGGTCACCTCCGTCCAAAGCCCCTGCTGCCAAAAGCGAAAATGAAAGGAGCCCCTGTACCCACCGTCGCCCCACTGGGGCTGACCCGGAGGGAGCACCTGCACAGAGCCCAAACACAGAGTGAGCAGCCAGGGCAGAGCCACAGGAAAAGCTGCAAGTCCTAAACGCCTGACAGATCAAACATGAGCGCACGTCTACCTTGTCCAAAAGGTGCCGGTTCCTGAGCAGGAAGGTGCACGCACACAGAAACCAGCAGTCTCCTAACAGACCCTGTTTCGCATGAGCCAGGTTCGCTTCGGCAGGGAAGAGAGACGGCGACTGGCAGATCTCCTTGAGGTGGGAATTAATGAATTGAATAAGAATAAAGCAATTCACCCAGGACAAAAGTACAGTAGGGGAAATAAGTATTTGACCCCTTGCTGATTTTGCAGGTTTGCCCACTTTACAAAGAATGCTTATTTTTCCTCATCAGATGGTTATCAATTTTTATAAATTTATATGATGTGATTTTCTGGAATTTTCTTTGGGATTCTGTCTTTCACTGTTAGAATGTACATTTGATTAAAGTTATATATCGTTGCATTCTTTGTAAGTGGGCAAACTGGCAAAATCAGCAAGGGGTCAAATACTTATTTTCCCCACTGTATGTTAACTTGAAAAACTATAAGAATTTGAATGAATTGATATAGCGTTTCGAGATAAATATTCATAACAAATGTACTTCCTCTGTGATTCGTGTTACTCTGATAACAAATAGAACTATACAACAATCAACCGCCTCACAGGGAAACTCCCTCTTTAGCTGACACCTATGACAGGTGACACGCTTTATGACCCAGTGGGTCAAGGACTGTTTGACGTGGAGTGGCCATGAGTTTTACAGAGCCCTGTAAACACGTCCACCCCCCACCCCCTCCCCCCTCCAGCTGTCTGACCTGCGGCCGCTCCCAGGTGACGTCTCCCCGCAGCCTGGCTATCGGCGTGGAGCTGTGAGAGAACAGGGAGGTGTCGTCCGGCGGGAAGTCCGGGTCCTCGAACAGAACCGGCCGCTCCGGCCCGCCCTCCTCCTTCATGGCCGCCGGAGTCCTGCTGGCTCAGCAGGTGAGCCTCAGCCCGCTCACACCATCTTCACCGCGTCTGCTACGGTAGTTCATAGCTAAAAACACAACATTAGAGACGTTACACGTTCGGGAAAGCCTCGTCGTATGTTTTGCTTTGTGTAAACCTGCCGCGTGCAGGTTTGAACCCGTCGAGTGTTGATTGGAGGAAATCATGTCTTCCTCAACGAGGACACACACAGGTGATGTAGCTCGTAATTAGGTTTATGCAAACGTAAAATAAAGATTGTGTCTAAAGAAAATGCGTGGAGAGACGTGTCAGCCTTGCCACCTTCCCCTATCTTACCTTCATTTTCTGACAAGCATCCCCCCCTCTCCCGCCCCCCCGGTAGCTGTCAGGGCTAAGATAACACATGCTAGCTCGGTTAGCTTCAGTCGGCTCGCAGAGGCGCAGGCGTCTCCGTATCTCCTTATCTTTCCGCGGCTTCACCGCCACCACAGCAGCCGCCGCTTATCGGCTCGCCGCATTTCGATCTGAGTAAACGATTCCACCCCACACAGATGTGTCACGTCGCGGAGGCAGAGGGCAGGGGAGGATGGCTTCCGGCCGGACAGCAGCGGGGTCACCGGCAGAGGATCCTTCCTGTGCCGCTCCGCACTGCCGCCTACCGTCCGTGGGGCCAATTACACACCACCGCCTCTGTTTTTGGTCCACGCGTGAAAAGGCCTTTATCGGTTGAAAGCCTTCTAACAGGATTTGGGTGGGATAAACTGGTACATTTTTTATTATGTTGTTGTTGTTTTTTTAAAATATATTTTTTTAAATATGGTACAACACAGAAGATTTGACTGAGCCTTTTCTAAAATTGTTTAAATTTGGCCTATAAAAGTAGTTTTTATTATTATCATGAATAACATGTTAAGTATGTGATTCTTAGAAATAGCAGCAAAAAAAGGAGTAAACACACAGTTCTTCTGTTTTGTGTGCGTGTGTGTTAATGCAGTTTTCCGGTTAGGTTTTGGAGATATTTTTCGCTAAGTTTTATCAACATAAACATTTGGGAAAAAGAAGTACAAGGAATTTAAAATGATCTTCCTGAATTGCATCTTTTCAGAAGTTTAAATGAGTTTTAAATAAAAAGAACAGAGTCTAGCAAAGCTGTAAATACTTCACTTGTTCATTCTTTGTCTTGTGCATTCCCAGTTTCTTTTCTTCTTGTTCATTTGGGATATTCTTCTTATCAGAAGGAATTCCCACCCAAAATTTCCTCTCTTAGAGGAACGTCTGTTGCCACACAATTTTGCCAAAGTACTTTTGTACACAGTACTATTATTGTTTGTGGAAATATGAAACTATTATTAAAAAAAGGAATAAATCCATCTACCCAAAGTTTGTGGAAAAATATTACGTATTTATTCAATTTAAACTGAGACATTTGTAGCAAGAAAATATAATATATTTAAACATGGAACATTCAAATTCTGTTGTGTGGGTTGACATCTTGATGGTCTCGGTCTGTTCTGGTGCAAGTCAAGGCCGACTGTAAAGAGAGTGAAAATAGTAAATACAAAGTGCTGTGATGACTGTTGTACCAGAAAAAAAAGAGTTAAGTAAAACTATATCTTACTGGGGCACTGTCTCCAGAGTTTGTTTCACCCACTCGTCCTCAGGATTGGCACAGGCAAGTCTGCCCCTTCTCAACTTGAAGCTGTGAAAGAAAGAAAATGTAAAAAATTACAAATAAGCAAGAGAAATTAAGTTTCTCAACAGTGCCCGGCACTTGGTAGATGCCGTTAGCTTTATTGAATCAGTTTCCTTACATTACAGCCTTGATGTTGCAGTAATCTGTGCCATTTTGCCATTTGTAGTATCTTATAAATTTCGTTGCGATAGGATTATTGTGGTACTCCGTGCAGCAAGGCCCCGCAGAACCTTTGAAGATCAACAGACAAATACACATGCAATGATCAACTTTAATTGAAAATAACTCGAAATATAAAGTATAACCGTTTTACTTATGAATTAATGATAATCCCAAATGCCAGAACAAGTAGCAGTGAATAGTCAGTGAAGTCATACTTACTGGAGTCACTTCGAACCAACAGCACCAGCAGTATGGAGATGCAAACTAAAAGCTTAACCATCTTCTTTAAGCAGTAGATCTGGATCTTTTCAGGATTGGGACAGTCGAATAAAGTGTGTCTCTTGCAGTGAAGTTTATATACTTCACATGGATAGGAAATGTCCAACCACATGCCTTGAAAGATGGAAATCCCTTTACTATGATGCATTCAGGTCAAACAGGAAGTGGTACTTTTCCCCCCTAAACGTTAAAAAACCCCTTTGCAGGGGCAGAACAAAATAATTAAAAGACAGAACTCATTATATAATGATAATCTACTGAGGTGAGGGCTATATTAATAAATTATATGAAGATTCTTAAATTTTTATTAGGAAATGCATGGCATTAGTTTACATCATTCTTTTCACTTTATTTTAATATTCTCCAGAATATATTTCCATAGATACTCAAGAAAAGAACAATATATTTCCTTATTATTTAATTCATATACAATTTCATTATTTTTTCCCCCTATACTTTGTTATAGTGGCAAATGTTTTACTTTTTAGACCTCATCAATTATTTGAGATCCTGTACCTTGATGGTTCATATTTTGTGCACACAATATGTGATCTCCTTTCAAATGTATATTAATTGTATTTAAAAATGTATAGTGTTACTATCTATTTAAACTCTACACTGAAAAATGTGGGAAAATAACGTTAGCTCCAGGCTATGAATCAAAATATTGATATTATATTACACAATATAGAGTTTGAAAACTTTCACACAGCAACTGCAGAATAAAGACCACAAACAGTGAAATGTATTTATGAAATGTCAGCAAGACTTAAGTCACCACACACAACCTACAACAGCCCCAAACCTCATAAGAACGCTTCCTGGTGACCCCTTTGGCATTTTCACATCATCATGACCACAAACTAGTCTTCATGCTGTAATTGTTCTGAAGAAAAAAAATTGCACCAGAATAAACTGAGCTGAGACGTAACGCAAACCCTGGCACTCAGTTACCCAAATAGTCAACCATAATTTTTATTGTTCTCACGGAAAGTCAAATGATATTTTACTGTTGAAGAAAAATCTAATTCAAATTTATATTTGACTGAATTACATTTCTGTGATGTAATTTCATTCAGTTGACATCGTGTATGCTGACTCACTGTCACATTTTAAATGCAAAATAAGAAGTTACCACAAAAAGCTTTCTTACAAAGACAAATCGGGTTCTGTTATTAAACGGTCTATTTCCAAACAGGACTGGCCTTTTCGATGAGAGGAAGTTAGTCCAGCCTGACTGTTAAAAAGCCTTTGACATTCAGATTGAAATTTGAGATGCTTGTGTTGTTTGGAATTTCTTTTGCTTTTCCCTCTGTCCCTGGTTTAAAAGCAATGGCTGAGCATCCACTGACAGTTGATCTCTTGTCTCGTTCTCACATTAAAAAGTTTGAATCACTCCCCTGTCAATTTGACAGACACCTGAAGCACCCAGACAGAGAAAGCCTGTGTTTTTTCCCTTTGGTCACAGGGGTCAGCTTCTTGTCTGTTATAAGCTAGATGGACTGTCATAGCAACCAGCTCTCCAACAAGCTGATGAAGAGAAGGGAAGAAATCCTTCAAACAATTTTATTTAGCTCCCGGCAGACGATTTAAATGATTATTTGGCCGTGAATCATGACCGGAATCAAACAAAACAAGAACATTTAGATTAGGAAAGGTATGGTTTGGAATACTAAAATACATTTCTTCTTAATGACCACATGCATTTGCAGTCCCTAAATAGTTCACTTATTAAGATGGAACATCGTAACCGGCAGATAGCAGGAAAGATGCGGCCTAACTCAAACCTGGTGTGGTTTTTTTTGGAACATTGATGATACACAATTTGAGTGCAACGTGACCTATTTTAACGCTCTAAGTGCATTTTTCCCCTTCGTGCATGGGTCTTCTGTATGAAGTAAGAGTTTCTCTGACCTAGAAAAGAACCTCGATGCAACCTGTCCCCAGCCTACAAAGCAGCCCACATCAAGTCGGTGCACGGTCTTAAGAGGTCTTTACTGTCATAATGTCTTCCTAGTTAAAATATTTTCCACTTTGCTGCTATTTCTTTTTTTAGAAATCAATTACCCTTTGTACTGTCTTTATGCTTTAGGTTTATAATAATAGTCCAAAGACTCTGTTGCATTGCTGCCACACCTGGAAATTTCCCATGTTTAGATTGCTCTACAGCACTTTTTATTAATATTAGTGTGGAAATCCTGGAGTTGTGCAACCCTACTAAGATGTTGGGTTGGATTCGTGCTGGGGCTGTTTTACAGGTCTTAAATCCCTTTGTCATGTTAAACATAATGGGAAAAATTATTATGAAATACTTTGAAATGTGCATGGTGTACATTTGAGTCATTCAGTTTCCGTCTTTTGATGCCACCTAATGCTTGTAATTCACAACGATACAAAAGACACAATGGTTCACCTCAACCACTACATCATAAATAAAACTGTTCTGTGTGTCTTGATCTCAAATCTTTATATATATATATGATTCATTTCAAACATCTGAACTATTGTTTATGTTGTTTGCGTATTAGGAAAAAGCTTTTTCAGACAAAGCTTTAAAAAAGGCTTTGGATATAAGTAGAAGGTTAAACTTAAAGTCCAATCTTAGTATTATATAATAAAATGGTTGTTTGTGTTGAACATTTATCATATGCAAGTCATTTTAATTCTGACAGCATTCGCATAACCCAACAGATGAACTTCAACTTTCCACCCTCTGTCAGATTGTGTGACAGTTTCCCCCCCAAGATTCCCCGTTTGCCTTTGTTTGAGGAAAAAGACGGGGGTTTTCTCCTCCGCTCAGACACATTTGTTGTGGGCAGAGCAACTCGTTTTAAGAGTTCCTCTGACAAATATATAAGGCCGCGCTCAGCCGCCTGCCGCCAACTCTCTAACTCCTCCTGACAAAAAGCGAAGCGAGCAGCTCAGATCAGAGTCACGGCCCTCAACTCACAGGACGAAATGGTGTCGGTCAAAGTCAAGGCGATGGCAATCGCGCTCGTTGCTGTTTGTGTGCTGGCCTCAAACACGGATGCAGGTATGTTTTGCTTTTATTCGTCGGGCCTCCCTTTAATTATCCTCTCTTTTTCCTTTTGCCTCTTTTCATATTTACAGATTTCAGAAGCAGGAAACTTTCTGCAACGTTGAAAGACTAACGCACCTGTTTGTTCTATTCCTCCACAATTGAATGAACCTTTCTTCTGGCCTTTTTTCACAGTTTATCGTGGATGTTGCCAAAGTTACATCAAAGGCAGATTGCCGTTTGCGGTTATAAGGGGATACTCAGTGCAGGATATTACAGAAATGTGTCCCATCAGTGCCATCATGTGAGTATTGTTGAAGTGATGTTTATTCTCTTCTCGTCTTATAATTTAAAAGTATTTTAAATAAACGTTAATTTTCTTCTGTTTTTAAAAAAAAATGTTTTAGTTTCCACACAAGAAAGGCCAAAATCTGTTGTGATCCTGCTCAGGAGTGGGTGATGGACTATGTGAACCGTTTAAGGTGAGATTCAACACAATACCCAAAATAAAAGAAGATGAAAGCGTTATAAAAGTTTAACACTGCATGTCAATGGAAGGTATTAACTCAACGCTATCATTTCTCATTACAGAAATAAAGCTCAAAGAGTTCATCGTAAATCACAATCGCAGAAATAGATGTTGCGGAAGAAGGATCCGTCCTACTTGTTTAAAGAAAAGACAGAAGAGTCCAGCATCTGCAAACGTGTTTTTCTATCTCTTGGTTTATATCTGGGTTTTTTTAGTCTAGGGAGCTCCAGCCTGGCAAACCTGTCCGCACTGAACAAATACTTTTTGCAATCCAAACATTTGCTCAGTTGTCAGAGCAATGTGTGTTGATATGTGTTTTAATATGCTTTTTGTATAGATATTTAGTTGCTGAAGATAATTTTTCTATCTAAATCTAATAAAGAGTTGTTTTTTTTAAAAACGTTTCTTATTTCTGGATCCAATGAGTATGCAAGCTCTACATCTGTTGACATTTTCCCTGTTGTGTAAAACTGCATGCCACACATATCTGAATAGTTATAGTTTAACTAACTTCCTCATCTATTCTCTCATGAGGGCTAAATCCAGCTCTGGGAGATTTGTGCTCTTTTATCAAACCTAGAAGTAAGTTAATCAGTGAAAGCCCTCGATGTGACGTCAGCAGGGGGGAAGTTGTGCCACATAATAGTTGCAAACAGGTTACAGAACAGGTATTTCAGATGCCTGTATAAATTCTTGTGACGTGGGAAGCCTGATTTGATTGGTCAGTTTAACTTGTCCTGTCAATATGTTGTAAATACGGCTGGAAAGTACATTTGCTCAGTACTGAGCAACTTGTAATGAGTTGTATTATTTCTGTCTGAACGTACTTTTTATATCTTTACATTACACAAGAAACAGTAGGTTGCTCTTGCACTTTTTATATTCAACTTTTTTTGTACACATTACTGGAATTGTACAGAAAAGATACTTGGATATTAAAAGAGTGGCTTCCAACATTTGGAGCATTTTTTATAAACTGAAGATCAAATTTTCATGACACAAACACAAATAGAAAAAAGAGAGAACAAATTAAGGTGTCAGGGCTTTAGCATAATCTTTTTCCTCCTGTAGTTATTGTATTCAAAATTGTACAGCAGGTATTTCATGCTTTTTTATGATGATGGACATGGTTACTGAGGTGTGTTTTTTTGTTTGTTTTCTACATCTCGACTAAAATGTCAGTGACTTACTTTGGAATTCATTCACTCAAACTTACTTCAGCACAACATTTACGGTTAAAAATAACATCAACCACTTGAGTTATTGACATTCAAACTATTATTAGTTTGTTATTTAGTAAGCATAAAATAAGCATGGCTATTTTCAAACTGAATTCCTTATTTATTAAATTATTTTTTCAAAATAGTAAATTTTTCATTCCATTCCAAATGTTGTTTGGGATATAATTAGATGTTCATTTTCAGATTTGATCAGATGCCCGCTTCATCTCAATCTGGTTCAACTTTCCTCCTGAATCTGAACAACTAACCCGTAGCTTGGGGTAAAGTGTGGCTTGGGGCAAGGGACCATTTTTAAAAAAAGACACATTTTAACAATGATATTTCATCAATCAATTTAACATCAGTGCCTATAAGGAATAAAAACATTCAGTTTAGTAAGAGGTTTTCACAGACAAACAACCACAAGCAACAATCAATGACACTTTGTCCCCTGAAAGTCTACCTGGGAGCTTTCAACCTGGCAAAATCTGTTATTGTCAAGTTATTGCCGAGATGTTTGAGTCTGTTTGATGTGAACACGTCGCTGCTGGATTCAGTGTGAAAGTGTGCAGCGTAAAGCTTCAAACCCACAACAGCAGTGCTGCAGCAGCAGATGGTTCAGAGGCAGTTTGATCTTTGATTGCATCACGGTAACAAGTAACATACCTAAAGTTTCCCCCAGAGTTATTAATGATGGATTGTCATTGCCAATTTTCTTGCACCGCCTGGACTGCTGAGCTTTCAGCCCAGTTAGAAGATAACATAACAGAAGCACTTTCCTTTTGCCAATAGATAAGGCAAAATAAACAAGGTGAGTGTTGCAAATACATCCAGTCTGTTGTGACAAATCACTAACAATCCACAATTATCTGACATAAGAAGGAGTTTGAATCAAATAGAGGGAGGAGGGCCTTTGTGTCTGACCATGCCATTTCACCATATCCATGAAATAGAGCCGAGTGCATGATGTTAGCAAGAGAAACCTATTGCTGTTATTTTTTGCACCTGCACATTGTTACATTTGGACATGTGGACCCTCCACCTTCCAAACACATGTATGTCAGGTTAATTAGAGTTTCTAAATTGTCATTGGGACTGGATGTGGCCCTATGGTGGGCTGGCGACCCACAGGGTATACCCCGCCTCACGCCCAGTGACAGCTGGGATCGGCACCCCGTGACCCTACCAAGAGTACGCAGAATAGACAAAGGATGGATGGACATTTGTCAGTCTTCATAAGACATTTGAAACATGGCTGCCGTCCTTAGGCTTTTTTAAAAAAAATCTACCTTTGGCAGCAGTAGGAACCTTCAGTTCCAGAATGGAAAATAGGAATCTAAGGCCTAATAGGAGAAGCTTGATTAATAATGTACAAAAATACTGTTTTGAACATTTAATACTCTGGCTTCCATCAGAGAAAAGCTTTGAAGTCTTTGTCTACATTATAGCCTTGACACAAGACACAATTACACCCACACACAATATTTCCAAGATGAATAGATGAAAATGAATGAAACAGAAACCTAACAATGTTACACTAACTCTCTTAGATGTCAGCTGAAGATTTAAGAATATAACATGATCTGATATGAAAAAAGACATTGAATGGCTGATGCTATCTTTATGTTTGCTCCCACATACAGTAGATTCTCTTTCTCTCTTTCGATGTTTCTGTCGTGGAGTAAATACAGCTGCTATCTCCTTGATATACAACTCGGTGAATAAATTATTGTCCCTAAATATTTTGACAGTTTTGTTGTCAGTGTGTAATTAAGTTTTTTCAAAGAAATATAAGCAAACTTAACCAAAGTCAAACAAACAAAAGGAAAATGATTATGTAAGGCCAAAACGGGGTAAAATCCTAAATAATATGCCGGGAAAATAGATGACTTCAGTAGTTTGGTTAGATTTTTGGAAACTATTCAGCGAACAGTAATGAATCACTAATTGTATGATGAAGCCAAGTAAAGAACTCAACACTAGGTGGTAGTAGAATCACTTCAAAGGCAGCTGCAGAGTCCTCAGTTATTTTTTGTCACATTGTTAACTTCTCTGGAATGAATTTCCTCTTTTCTTCACTTTCAAATGTTTGTAAAGCAAGGCTCCTGCTATATATATATATGTATATATATATATGTGTGTGTGTGTGTGTGTGTGTGTGTGTGTGCGTGCGTGTGTGTGTGTGTGTGTGTATGTGTCCATATATCCCCAGGCATCAGCAGAAGCTGTAGCAAAATAAACTTGACAGTTTCTCCTATCCCATGAATGCATCCCAAACGACGCTCCCAGCCGTGATTACATCACTTCTTCTCTTCTGCACCATCGCACAGAGTGCTTTTCTATGAATAATACAGAGCGACTTGGGAGAGGGGGACATAGACATGGGGCTTGGTTAAAAAGGACAGAGGGAGTGCATTAGGGGGGGGGAAAAAGCAACAGAGACAGCTGACAGAGGAGCAGGAAGGTTACTTTAGCTGAATTTTTCCCCTGAATGTGACTTCATTGCACAATCCAAATAAAAAGTAATACACGCTGGACACTGAAAAGCTGTTTTTATTTTTCCTTTATTGAGTTAATTAATAAGAAACAAGACTTTGCATCAGGTGTTAAGATTTCTTTGCAATGAAATAGTTTCTTGTCACATTTATTTAAATCATAGGAGTTGGGTGTTTATCTTACATCAATACTTGATACAGGTTATCTTTTTATTTTTATTATTATTTTTTCCTTTTGGTTGGACAGGACAGGATTTTAGAGCCGTCTCACAAAGGGAACAATGAGAAATGGCAGCAGTGTGGCCTGTCCGAGAATGTGAGGGAAGACAAGGTTATAGACTGCTTATTCCCAAGGGAAAGCTAGCTTTAGTATCGAAGGAAAATAACATATTGCACCATGAGATCAGCAGACAGGTCCTCTATCATAGTGCATGTGCAGCAATACACACGCACACACCCACACACACATGCAGGGACACACTGGAAACCAGACAACTTCTCATGAAAGTTACACACGAAAGACAATCACACATCCTCAGTCAGAAAGGTGGACACAATCTGCTGCTATTATCCTACAATATTTGTGTATATTTGGAGGTTCATTACATATGTTAGTCTAAAAACTTGATAGTTTTTCTTGGGCTGTAATGCCTCTACCTTTTTTGTTCCTTTGTCCTCCCTTTCTGCCAATCTGTCTTTCCTGCCAGCACAGACACACAGTTAACTGAGCTCAGTATATAATTAGACAAACAAAAAAGAGAGGGATGAAACATCTAGAGGAGAAGAGACTCCAAATGATTACACATTCACTCCACTTCCTTCCCCCTTGCTGCACACATAACCATCAATTAGAGACGAAGAAAGGAGCACAAGAAAGCAAGCAGCCAGAAGTCTATTTGCGTGTCTATCTTTCTCTTCCCTTTCCACTCCCTGGCGCTGGGGAGAGGGAGGAAGAGAGGAGAAAATAGAAGTGAAAAACAAGAAGTATATAAATAAAGAAATCAGAGTGCTTCGCATCCGGTCGGCTGATTGGCTGAGACGTGAATCAGGCAGATCTGGGCCACAGTTGCACTCATTGTTCAGTGAGCTTTTCTACACAGTCCAACCCAGCGACAGCAATGAATGTTGATTGTGACCTTTGGTCTTTGGGTACAGTGGGAACAGAGCGGCGCTTATGTGGATGTACGCATGTAGCGTGTCTGCATTTGCATGTGGTGCTCACTTGTCCTTTTTGTTCTTTTTTTTCTCTCTTTTTTTGTTTTTTTGTGGTGCTGGTTCCTGATGGCGTCAGAGCGAGCCGCGGGGCACAGTCAACGGTCGATGGTTTTTAAGGGATCCATACCAAAACTCACCGACAGCGTTGAATGTTCACCGAAGCAGGCGGGACGGTGGC